ATAATTAAAGATCGTATCAAGGAACAGGAAGGATAATTGGCTGAATCAAATGCATCGCTTACCAATTAAATAGTGACCTAGCTCTCCAAGAACGTATCCAACCGATACGATAGCCAGTGCGTACGGTTTGTACAAGAACCGTACCTTCTGTAACGCTGTCCCCAACATTGTATCCTGGAAGAGACAGAAATTCGAACCTAACAAGGGACATATGCCGATTTTGATGCCCTCTGAGTATGATATAGAACTGAAAAAAATATTTGACACGTATTTTTTTTCATCGGCAATCGTCCATGCTGAAGGGGTGAAAAAAATCACAAAAATAGATTATTTTTCAATATATTTTTTAAACAAATAAATTTATCAAAAAGGTGGCTACATAGAAAAATTTGCTGTCCAAAAACACACAAATTCCATTTTGAATTTTTCGCCTACACCTAATAGTTCCTGAGATATTCAAGAAAATATGTTTTGCAACCCCAACTTTGAGGGGTATTTTCACCCCTTCAGCATGGACGATTGCCGATAAAAAAAAATACGTGTCAAATATTTTTTTCAGTTCTATATCATACTCAAAGGGCATCAAAATCGGCGTATGTCGATTGGGTAATGTCCCTTGTAAGATTAATGACTCTCACGCGATATCGCGTGCACTGTTACGAATGCTCGAACGAGCTCCCAGGAATTGGCAGCAGACCTAATAGTTAATCATCGAATACGAATTACGTCATTTATGGTGTACGCTATTTACAAGTTCGCGTTAATTATCCTATGAATTATTCGCACAAAATCGTTTACATACTTGTTAACAATCAGTCGATCGTAAATATACGAATGCTGATGGTATCTCCATGAGTATCTCGTGTCTTACGAGAAGAATCATTATTTTTATTGCACGTGCGCGATTGGGATTGCTCGTGGAGCTTAACATTTAATAGTGTTAACAATGAGAGAGCAATAATTTCATAATTACATCAGCTTGTAAAGAAGAATTAGTCAGCAATATTAACTGGATAATTGGGAAAATTGAATGACATCTGAACAAAGAAGGCAAACCAGTACACACCGTGGCGGACAGAAATATTCGATAGAAATGTTCGTACATATTTTCATAGGTTTCAAACGCATGCACCATACGAGTTGGTCACCTTGAGCCCAAATCATTGAGACGTAACGGGCATAGGTTTTAATAGCGTCAATTCTATTATTCGTGACAATGCTGAGAAGTTAGCACCATCATAAATAAAAAAAGAAAAAAAAGAACATAAAGAGACTTCATTGTTTGAGACATTTTTGTCTAACTAGGACATTGTACTTCAATTATTGGTCTGATTCAGACTTTGGTACTGAAAAATATATCCATAAGAGGCACATACATGTAAATGATTTAAAATTGGAAATATATTCCGAATGTACATTGAGTTCCATCGAAGTTGTCGCAGTGAAGTTGGCGCACAAACACATTCACGCCGCGTCGGTGAACCGATGCACCTCACCTATCGGCTCACCGACGATGCGGCGTGAATGTGTTTGTGCGCCAACTTCACTGCGACAACTTTGATGGGACTCATTGTACGGTAGGTGATCAAATTATTAGAGCCATGGTACGAAAAATGGGTTTTTCGTGATTGTGTAGAAATAGATCCACAATTTTAAGGTTTTTATATTGTGTAATTTTTAATCAATAATCCTCCACTATTAATATACAAAAAAATACTTATAAAAATAAACAAGTACATTTAAAAGATTATATTTAATTACTGCCTCAATTCTTTTCGGCATTCTTTCAATTCATTTTGATTGCTTTATTTCTGGCCAATACTTCTATCAAACGTTCAATTAATTAACATTTATTATTAATAATTAATATTTCCAAAAATTTTCGATGGGGTTGAATTCCGGAGAATTTCCAGGCCAATAACTCGGTTTTCATTTAAGAATTAATCATTTTTATGTAAATTCATCAATTAATGCGAGTGGATCTAATAATTTGATCACCCACTGTACATGTAAATGATTTAATTTACACTCGTTGAAAATAAAAGAAAATTGATAACTCGTTAAAAAGACATTTTTACATTGCAGTAACTACAATTCAATAATCATTAATTCTGTTAATTAACTAACAGTGTACATAAAGTACTTCCGTCTTCCACAGTAAATCATTAATCTACTCGCTGACTAAACGTCGTTTTATAACGTCCGCTAAATCATGACGGTAGTGCGTGATGAACATCGATGCAAGAAACCAAATTGATTTGCAATGCGAGCAACCGGATGTGTAAGATCCTTTTTTATTCCGTGATTCTTACGAAATGAAGGGGAGCTTGGGATAAGAAACGAGAGCAACAGAGGTGCGACCCGAACAGACTATACTTTTCTATAATTATATACTGATATTAAATCGAAGGTTGAACACGTCTAATGGGCGTATACCTGGTACTGAGGACTTCTGATTGGAGAACAGTACACCGGGCCTCTCAATTAAATCATCTGCTGGACACCTTCATGAATAACTACTAAGTACTTGCAATTAATTCTGTTGTTCATTAAATCGCCTGATCAACTTTATTCTCCGCTAACCGTGCGTCACTACCTTTCCGGACGTATATGTATTTGATATCTATAGGGAAGCAGAGTGCAACTTTGCCAATTGGATAAAAGTGATCAACGTTCAAAGCCTAATTAACGACACTGATTAAGCTTAACATTCGCCAAGTGTCGAATCAGCTATCCTATAAGGAATTTTCAATCACCTGGTGGTATTGAACGCATTAATATTTTTATGCATTAGCAATCAAAGAAAAGTAACAGTTCGATCAATATAATTATAATATAATCTGATAAATGATATTAGAACAAGTTTGCCAACGAGAAAATATAGCTCGACAAGTGGATCGTTTAAAAATCCTCGCGTTAGCAACTGCAACCAGTTATATCTGTTTACAGTTTCATGATAAAAGTTGCGCAAATTATGCAAAATAATAATAATGCAATCGAGGTTCAACCCACGGACGTTTACGTGTTTGCACGATGTAGATTAAAGCAAGCCACATTCGATACTCGAAACGGAAGGTTGTACCGTTTGGAATGAGTTCCGGAATGTAAAACACGTGCGGTCGTGTTTGCTCTTTGATAATCAGATTAATTATGGTCACTCGTGGTAAAATTTTCCACCGACTTCCTTTGAATATCCACTACGATGATTACTGAATCACTGGCTCCAATTAAATTAGTATGAACGCTGTTTTTTCTTTTTTTTTACAATTTTAATAAATCACAATGCATCTATCCTCAAGGACTAAGAGGCATCAATTGACGCAAGCGTACTTTTTTAAAAATTTTTATTTTTATATTCTTCAAAGTAATCATCGCTATCAATACACATGGCATCATGTAACTGGTGTTAGAAGCAAATAAGTTGAAAATATGAAATATGTACATTGTCTGAGAATGGTAATTAATATAATAAGTCATTTTTAACATGACGCCCCAACACAATTTTGAATAATTGTATTTTTTTATCACATATCACGTGTCACTCGACGGATACTTACGTGTTAAAGACGGCCGTTCCACGCGCGAAATTTGAAAGCAAAAACGATTGAGATCACTATTGATTCGTTTCACGGCACAATAACGCGAAACAAAAAGAAAGAAATAATTTTTTCTAACATATGAACCAATCCCTTCTTGTACGAGGGATGGAGCGTTAAATGAGAAACGAGCCGGTGGACAACCTTCATTTATAAGAAAGTATCCAAGGATCGGGCCTTCCGTGGACTTTGTCGAGGAAGGGGCACCAACATAGCTTGCATTAATAGGCAAGTATAATTCTTGCGTATTTATCTCTGGTGGGAGTACGAGATACTCTTGATCTTCGATATCCAAGGTTCTTTCTATTGATCGCCTGTATCATGTTCCTTTACAGGCAGCATGAAAAATGTAATCCTTCAATGGCCGACTGTTAAAACTGCAAATCCCGGAAATCTGGCTGTGAAAGATTCATATACGAATAGACAAAATTCGTTATAATTTGGTATTCCTTGAAGACTCGAAATCTGAGGTGATCAACCTGCGTTTAGATAGACAGATCTGTTCTTTGTACTGGTTGCATTGTCGTCGTAACATTGACACACTTAACTAATTGATTCTCATGCCAGTTAACGCTGAAACATGTAATAACGCAAGTTCGAAGACTTTCCTTGAGATATCTAAGTACGTTATAGTGGTGTAGCGGTTTTAATAGTAGAACGTGACTACAGACCGAACGCAACAGGGCACGTGACTGTATGATATATACGTGTCATTCGAACGTGTATATCACATTCTAGAAATTATTTCTTATCTCAAAATTTGATACATTTGTCATAAAAAATCCTGCTATGCTTGATGCTGTACAGTATGCATCATAGTGTCCGTTCGTCTAGTGAAAAAGCACTGACTTTGGAATCCAAGTTTAACTACAGCAAATATTAAAATCTAATTATTTAATAAAAGCGTTAAAATAATTAACATAATCATCTGATAAAAGCTTTAGAATATTCAATAATTTATTTGAAATTACTAAATACACTAGACGAAGGGACACTATGATGCATACTATATGTACATACATACATACAATGCTGAGCATGCTAGGGTTCCCTAGGATTCCTCTAGTATTTTCCATTTTCCTTAGGGATCGTGCTCGGTATTATATACATATTTTCATTATTAATAAAGAAGCTTGAAAGTAATAGCGTAAATTAATATCGAGTATCTTTTTTATAAAAAAAGAACCTGCTATGCTCGATACTGTATGTACATGCACTGCTGAGCATGCTAGGGTTCCCTAGGATTCCTCTAGGATCTTCCATTTTCCTTAAGGATCGTGCTCGGTACTATATACATATTTTCATTATTAATAAAGAAGCTTGAAAGCAACAGCGTAAATTAATATCGAGTATCTTTTTCATAAAAAAAGAACCTGCTATGCTCGATATTGTATGTATGTATGTACATGCACTGCTGAGCACGCTAGGGTTCCCTAGGATTCCTCTAGTATCTTCCATTTTCCTTAGGGATCTTGCTCGCTACTATATACATATTTTCATTATTAATAAAGAAGCTTGAAAGCAACAGCGTAAATTAATATCGAGTATCTTTTTTATAAAAAAAGAACCTGCTATGCTCGATACTGTATGTATGTACATGCACTGCTGAGCATGCTAGGGTTCCCTAGGATTCCTCTAGTATCTTCCATTTTCCTTAGGGATCGTGCTCGGTACTATATACATACTTTCATTATTAATAAAGAAGCTTGAAAGCAATAGCGTAAATTAATATCGAGTATCTATTTCTCTAAAAAGTAACAGAAATGTATCAGCCTGATACGTAACGAAACGGAGGTCCAATGTTAATCGGCCCAGCCCGAATGAAACCACGACATGGGACCTGTCCCGTACCGCATCGAACGCGTTAAGTATCCATCAACTTGATCTTCGGCTGTAAAATAGAATCGAGTGGCTGTGAAACGGCTGTTTCACTCTCGTGCACTTAAGATTTCGCAGGAACAGGGTAGGATGTAGTACGCACTCTCCCTGTTATCGACCATATCAAGAGAAGTGGTACACCAAAAGGAGAACGAACGATGGCGAGCAACACCGAGTCCAACCGAGGGAGGAGAATCGTGCTCTTGGTGTTGCTACTTTCGTTGGACCCTGAATGGACACTGCATATCCCCGTTTATACAACTCTGATTTACTAAACGTCTTAAATAATCTAATTTTTGTTAACTCGTTTGTTAAATGTACAAAGTTCTACAGGTTGCGCGTGCCCCTAACGCGGTAGGTAACCTACCGTGGTGCCGCGTTTAAATCGCGATCAAAAAACCTCGTTCTTCGTTAATAAAAAAGGAGAAAGCAGTTTGTGAAAATTGTGTAAATAAGAACGAATCATTGGAGAAATGAATGATATCGTTGTTGGTATCAATGTGTGGTATTCCCCTTAGTCCTGCGGTTTATAACATGGTTTATCGATTATTGCCTACGAAGATACAAGTGATATAAATACACGGTAAATAATGACAGGAGAGTGGTGCAGGTACATGATGATACGTTGAAACGCAGATCGTTTAAATATGCTTTCAGCTTGTTACGAATCCTTTGTGATTATTTTTCAGTAGACGAAGACACTGACGAGTTTAGGTGCGTGTGTACTTTTTTTAAAGCAGTGTTTTCATCGACTACTTTGTATTGGTTTTGTATCATGTGATTAACGAATTAAAATGACTTCGATGGGACGTTACTGGATGAAAAGTCATGTTGAATTCTGGATAATAGAATAGTACAACTTTAAGAGACGAGGTTTGTTTTCCATCATACTTGAAAATTATTTTCTATACATATACAGGTCTTTACCACGATTCCATTTGAAATGGAAATTTATAGTATAAATTCAACAGCTACGAGATTTCCATTGATTTATGTTTCCAATATATTAACTGCCATCCACGATTGGTCGAAATCCTTCCACGAACCAATATCAAGGCCGACGGCGGTATACGCTTATTAAGCTAACAATTAGTCAGTTCCTCCGTTCTAAGTTCTCGTTCAAGGTCCTGCAGGTGACTACGGGATCTTTATCTTCGTGTGTTTTTTCTCTTTTTTATTTCTTGCATAATTGACGGGATTGCACTCCAAGAATTGCTAGATCAATTATGCAAGACTCCCGCGAAGTACCATCGCAATACGGAGATAATGAAGAACAGCTCACCGCGTTATAACGGAGATTTCACACGAATCGATGAATCCTTCCATTTAAACTATCGAACAGTTTATAATTTTAACTTTAACATAGTGGAAATGAAAGAGCGGATCAGTAATGGATTTGGTACATCCGGTTCTCGTTGTGGACTTAGAGTTCGCTCGAGAGATGATTTCAATCCTCTGCCGGTCAGTTGGATGGTCCGTTATCCATTCACTTGCCGCTCGCTCCATTGCGGCTTTCCCATAAACATTGTAATAACTTTTGTTAATTTCAGGTACAGCAATGTTAATAACCGCACGCTTCCTTGACAATGATTCGAACGAGAATCAGCGAGGCGTTGGGCTCTAAGGAGATACATTAAAGTAGGAAAAGAGAAAGAAATTAAATCATGGGCTCGTTGCCAAATCTTCATGAATTGTCGAAGGAGAAGCTCGGTAGTCCTGCTTACCGACCAGCACCCATTGGTGGTTTAGGACCTATTCGGTTGCCAGCTCAACCTCCTCCATTAGCGCATACCCATAGACGCGCAAGAAGCAGTGGTCATCACCACACTCTGTGGGACAATGATACTATGCTGGAGGTACGTCTAGTGTTTAAACTTCACATTTAAGATTCGTTAAGACCCCGGTCCAACCCCCTCCAAATAATGTTAATTTACAGCATATGGCAGCATACTCTCCAATCTCCTGTCGTTCAACCAGAACATCAGCCTTGTCCTGGCGTCGACGAGATTCGATGAATTCCTCTGCAGGAGCGTCGTCTGTGCGTCGTTTGATAGCAGCTGTAAGGGCAGCACCTTCCGGTCCAAGACCGCCGAAGAAAGCGATTCTAAGGCATTGCGCTGCTCTTCTGTTAGGACACGCGAGCTGTTCAGCCGCCACGCTGCCCATATTTCCCTTACAGGCTGGTCTTGGTACCTTCAATCCTCAACTGGGGCCGATGTTGTTGGCTCTACTTTTCGCAACCGCAACAATCACCACTTGCTTCGCGCCGATCCTCGTGCAGCGATTTGGAACAAATCTTGCAATAAGCAGCAGCCACGTGGCCACCACCATTTTTGTCGGAGTACATCTTTATCCTAAATGGTGGATTATTTGAACTCGCCAAGTTTTAATCGTGTATACGGATAATGCAATTATTGATATTTTTATTCACAGGTATATATTGCTACCCAGTTACGCTATGCTGGGTGCATGCATGAGCCCAAGTTTCATAGCAAGGGTATCACATGTAAATGCTTCGGCAACGAGTTTAGCTCTGGTATCTGTCGATCCTGAGGATCCTGATGAAACAAGACGCGAGTGCCTTTTGAGAAGACTTAATCGAGGGATTAAATTAGCAGAAGATTTGGGTCTTGCATTGGGTATGAACGTTAAAAATCCATGGCTATTATCTTTGAAGAGTAAAGTTATTTACAAATAAAACTTTGTCCTCAGGTTGTCTAATCGCTGCCATACTTGTGAAACTAACAAATTCAATATCTCTTAGTACAATAAACGGTGAGGTAAATGATATGTGCGGAGCAGAATATTGTCCAGAAGAGATTTATCTTTACAATGGCACAACTAATTTACCTACATTATCATCTGGAACATCAAAGATGTTAGTTAGCATATGGCTCGGTCTTGCTGTCCTAGGTTTAAGTATATCCTGTGCTTTCCTCGATTCTAGAATGAAGGAACCACAGACTGTAAATGAAAAACATAGCACTAAAAGTATTCTCACATCTATAAAAACTGCATTTCAAGATCCTAAGTTACAATTGGCTGCGCCGTTAACACTTTTCATCGGACTTGAACAGGGTTTCATCTATGCAGATTTTATAGAAGTAAGTATCCACTGTAACGAAAGCTATTTCACTACTTGAGTAACTCTTATCAAGTTAGTTGCATAAACGTTTCACCTATTATTTTATAGGCATACGTAGTCTGTGCATTGGGAGGAGCTGGTACAGTAACATTAAGTTTTCTAAGTTTAGCATCTTTGCAAGCTCTTGCTGGTGTTACTTTATCCATGCTTTTGAGGCATATTAAAAGGTATTTTGTTGTAGGTAAGTGGTATAATAATTATTCTTTTATTGCTGTTAACAGTTTTAATAATTGATATATATATATATACATATATTCTTGAAAAGTTGTAGGATTTGTATTTCATGCGTGTTTATTACTGGTCTTGATCACTTGGAGACCATCTGGTGACGATCCAGCACTTTTTCATGTTATATCTGCTGCTTGGGGAGTTTGCAATTCCATTTGGGAAACTCTAATATACAGTAAGTTACATATCATCCTTTCTGTATAGTTCAAATATTAAAAGAAATCGTTTAATCTGTACAGCATTAGTATTGGGATTGTATCCAAACTCTTGGCAAGGACCTTTATCAACGTCCCTCTTTTGGAGGTGGCTTGGACTTGCTCTGACTCTTGGTTTACATGGATTGGTCTGCACACGATTTCGTGTACTTGGTCTTGCTTGTGTGCTACTTCTCTCGGTAGTTCCTTACATATGGTTAGAGATTAGACTGGCTAAAAGAGGTAAAAGCCTAGCACCATTGTGACTGAGAGATACAACTACAAGTGATCTGGGTTCAAATACGAAAATAGAAGCTCGTTACAGAGATTGAGATAAGTTCGTTCCATTTGGCTTAAGAAGGACAAGGAGACATAATAGAAACAGGAAGCTCTTTCCAGGACACAGTATATGTAAAACAAAGAAACATTCAAGACGTAGGGTAAACAGTGTTGCTTTCGCGTGTAACACTGAAGAAAATCAAACTACAAATATTAGTACTATCGAACAAAATGTATCCGTGAAAGAGGTAGTGGCAGAAGTTTCTTTGCCATCTACGAATGAACATCGGACAAGCGTTACAGACCACTGCAGTGTTCTTCCTGTATCTGAAGGCTGAATTTTTTATTTCATTTTGAATAAACTCTCGAAAAGATTTTAATTACGAAATATAAGTAATGTCCAAATATTTCTGTACTCGGTACGGAAAGGTGTAGATGCGAAATATGTCTCTATATAATATTGAGCACAACTTATATTTTATATCTGGATTAAAATTAAAAATGAAACATTTCAATGATTTGATAACAATATATTTTAACATGAAATGTTAACAATTTTACAGGCTTTACTAAACATAGTCTTTCTTAAAAGTTGAATGGAACGAACATGAATAAAATAAATCACAAAGAATTCATCATCAAGCATAAATGCTCTTACAGAAAATCTCTTGTTCCGTTATAGTACGAACAATTTAACATAAATTGTCGTACAAGACTGAACGATCATAGCATATATGTAGTACATATAATGTTATTAACGATTGATCATCGTAGTATCTTTCTGACAAATCATTGACGTTGAAACGTCGAAATGTACCTGATGTCTTTCAAAACCAAATTAATTATAATTGTGCGTGGAAAAAGAAAAAAAGGTGATCGTTAAAATATATCTGCCCTGTATCACAGAAACGAAAAATGAAATTACTATAAAGTATTTAATATAAGCATAGGTGTCTATTAATTCGTTCAACAGGAGACCATATTTATTGTACGAGTTTTCGTTCATTCTGCGCATGCGTGGTTCGAGCACGCTACGTCTGCGCAAGCGCGTAGTGGTACTGCGCGGCATATCCAACCATCTTATATTCAGTATACTCCCGATCTTCGTGACGTTAGTACGTGTTTTCTCTATTCGCATATTCTTTTATCCATCACATGAAGGTAGAAGCAGGAGTAGAGAGCATTCCTGAACTGCGTAAAACAGGTATGATCCCTCGTTGAACGAATAATAGTTGAATTATAATTACATATTTACGGTTGATACCAAAGCTTTATCATTCGCATAAATAAGTAACAATTCATTGTACAAATTGTACATTTCTAATTTAAAAAACCAACAACAAAACGTACGCTTCAACGAACAGAAAAAAGAACGCGTTACTCAATTTTTATCGCGCCAAATGCATTATTAATACACTCACTGATCGACAAATTTAGAAAAACGGAATATTATAAGTCTTTTCTGAATAAGACATTGTTACGCTGGAGATTGTGTACATCTTCAACGATTCAAATACTCTCTCCTCTTCTGTAGAGGATGGGCCACGCAGCTGTTCCAGGTGATAACACCGTTATTAACACATTCATGAATAAATGCCAAAAGAGAAAGATAAATGGTTCGAAGGGCACTATATCAGTAGGCTCTTAGATTTTATAAAGTACAATGCACGTGCAATTAACAATTGCATCAATTTTTTAAATGGAAATGCATATTTCTTTTTGCACAGATCGATTCCCTTATTAATTCTGCGTAAAAAACAAAAATAAGTAGTTCTCGAGATATTCACGAAAAACCATATTATTTTCCAAATTTTAAACGGCTCTTTCTCCCTTACTTTCTCTCTGGGCTCTTTCTTCATCTCTCTTTTCACCCTTTATTTTCACTTTTTTTTCTTCTTTTTTTAGCCAACGGGTGCTGGGCTCTGCACTCTCTGCGAAGCTGAGCAGGGGTGGTGGTACCTCCAAGGACGGGCCTGGTTGCAAATCCAAAAGATATCACTTATGTTACAGGGGCGGAGTGTACGAAGTAAGGTGCTCTCATGTACGAGGAGTTTACTTGGGTCCATTTTGACCCATTTACGCTACAGGTTCACTCGCGAAGTCTCAACCGTGTGAAGGTTCACTTTGTGGCCAGATTCTTCTAGCTGCGCCATGACTTCAGGTCATCGGTCACACGCGCGCACTTTTCAAGATTGAGGATTGCACTCTCCGTCGCCGATTCGTAAGTAATATTTCCGCGAACTACAAGGGCGCCTCCAGCTACCATCCCTGATTTTGTAGGATTATTCTTGGCGCGAAACAGCTGAATTTTCAAATACTTTTTGAAATTGAGATTTTCTGAAGCGTAAGCGGGTCAAAATAGACCCAAGTTAACTCCTCGTATATGAGGGCACTTTACTTCGCACACTGTGCCCCTGTAACATAAGGGATATGTTTTGGGTTTGCAACCAGGCCCGTCCTTAGAGGTACCATCACCCCCAGTCAGCATCCCAGCACCCGCAGGCTAAAAAATATGAAAAAAAAGTGAAAATAAAGGGTGAAAAGAGAGGAGAAGAAAGAGCCCAGAGAGAAAGTAAGGGAGAAAGAGCCGTTTAAAATTTGGAAAATAATATGGTTTTTCGTGAATATCGAGATATTATACTTATTTTTATTTTTTACGCAGAATTAATAGGGGAATCGATCTGTGCAAAAAGAAATATGCATTTCCATTTAAAAAATTGATGCAATTGTTAATTGCACGTGCATTGTTTGCACTTTATAAAATCTATGGGCCTACCGATTTAGTGCTCTTCGAACTATTTATCTTTCTCCTTTGGCATTTTTTCATGAATGCGTTAATAACAGAGTTATCACCTGAAACAGTTGCGTGGCCCACCCTGTATAATGACCAAATCGTAACGTATAGAAACATTTGAAATTTCTTGATATTTATCGTGTTTTTGGTACATTCGAATGTAACTTGGGCTTCTCATGATTAAGAATAAGTAGAAGGGAATGAGTTTTTCTCTTTTTCTTAACTAATAGAAGTCTAAGCTGCACTGTACTGTACATCATCTTCCAACACATTTCTCATTGTCTCATAAGTATACATTTAATTATGCTTCCCATAGACGTCACTATATTAATAATACAGTTGTTTTATTAAAAGTTTTCAACTAAGAAACCTTTAAATACAAAATAATACATGTTTTCTTGGACATTGTTACAAAATTTAAAAAATCAACATGTTTAACAGTAATTTTAATAAATAGATATTTGTATGAGATATTTCTTAATTCATAAAATTAATCAGACAAATAGCCGGACTATTTGTACGTTCTCCAGGACGATTTTGAAAAAAAAAAAAAAAAATCATTCTTGTTGCCATCATTTTGAAGATACGACTGATAAATTTGTATAAACTCATAATTATGTATTCAGACAAAAAGTAACCAATATAAAATTAAGTCATGTAACAATATGATATTTGTATGTACACTGGATATATTTTGCAATCTTGAAATAAATTGTATTATTAAATTCTATATATATATATATATATATATATAAAAGAAACAGTTCAAAAAGATATGCAAGAGAAAATATTGTTAATCGTTGCTAAAACTAGGACAAGAAACACTACTTCCAACGAATTCTTGAATCTTCAGCAATAAATGTGCTCATTCTGATTTCGATAAGAAGTTTCAATGGTTGAACCAAAATTATACATAAAATGAAAGGGAAGAAAAAAAGAAATGGAAGCAAATGTTTCTGTCCTAGTATATGACTATGGATTTATAAAAAGAGTATAGCGGAGTATGAATATTGGAAAGGCATATACTAATTGTATTTCATGAAATAATAAATATTATCTTATTTTATATTGTCCTCGGTTTCGATTAACTTTTCTTTTTGACAATTTCAACTTGTACCTAATAAAATCTCTCTAAAGGAAAACGAATAGCAGAACATTATTAGAGGTACATACTTGTTTATCCTCATTTTCAATTACATTTCTGTATACCTACACATATTAACTTTCTGGTTTCTTTCTTTTTTATTTTGTGTATCTGTTTTCTTTTAACACTAAATGTCAAAAGTGACATAGTAAACACCATTGTATTACTTTCATCACAAATATATTATTCACACATAGGCAAATATTTATCATAATTATCGAGCCAAAGAAAGATATATGCTATATAAGTTTCATTCTGGCAGTAAACTGTACGTTCTGGATAACGAACGTTTTCTTTCTTATGTACATACATGTATGTAACTAACTCGTACAACCATTGCACGAGGATAATTATTTTTTTTTTTTACTTTTTTTTTTTTACTTTCTTTAGTCACTTTAAACCCTACCTCACTGGTGATGACAAAAATGTAATCCATCATGGCGTATAAGTCTATAAACTTATAGTATACAAGTTATAACATTAACTACCTAAATTATTGTCATCATCACGAGACGTGTAGAAGTTAATTAACGTATCGACATTAAACAGTCGAACAGCTAAATTATAACAAACAGAATTTTATATACCTAAATCACTCGCATTCAACATACCATTATCCACGTAAAAACATTTAGCTAATATAGCATGTGTATAACTTCAACAATGCCTCTTTATTCATCGTTTAAATTTCCTTCTAGGTTGCAAATATAACATGATTCCGATATTTGCATGATGCTTAACAAAAATCACATTTCTTTTCTTTTAAGAAAAATAATACTTATACTTGACAACTGAAAATACAAACTACATACACATCTTGAACGCACTTACAACATGTAACAACACAAGAGATGATTACAAATTGTGATAATCTATAGAAGTAAGATGTTTACAACAGACGTAAGATCGTATAGTTATAGTATAATCAATAAAAAAAGAAAAGAGGAAATTCTGTTTTGATTAAAAACCAAACAACATAGCAAAATACTGATGATCAAATGCCAAAACGTTGTTGAACTACTTTGAAAACTATCCACCACAGGTCGAATTATTTTCATTGCTGGCGACGAAAGTAACATCTTAATGTTACGTTTTGTCACGTAAAAAAAAAAAAAAAAAAAAAAATATACATAACATTGCTTATGTCTTTCATATAAATAAATAAACTTCAGCCAAGCGAAAGCACAGGATTCGTCATTTGATGTGTAAAACAATGAATTGAAACTCGACAAAAATTTATTGTTTATAAATTATAAAGTTTCCTTCGTGTTTTTTTTTTCTTCTTAATTTTCTTAAAAAGAAAAACGATTAAGAACTGCATATAAGCCGAGGCGCATCGTCTAAACAGCGCCATACATTTATGATTATTATCTCCTATTTGTTGAGAGAAGAAAAAGCAACATTAGGCTAAAGCAAAATGTATGAAAAAATGTATGACAACATTGTAATTATAACGCATATTTTTTGTTCCAATTCCAATTTTCATAGTTCATCATTGTTTCAGCCTAAGATTACTTAACGCTTATTTAATATGCGTAATAATTGCACACAAAAAATGGCTCTTATTACAGTCCAGTGAAGAAATTGAATAAAACCATCTGAAAATGTTTGCCTTAATTATCAAGAAATTGTACGAGCCATTTTTCTGAATAATGTGCAAACACTCCCGATTAAACAGATTCTACTACCATTCGTAAATTTGCCAAATAGTATCACTTTGGTAATATCCCTTCCTGGTAACTACGCATAGAATATGGAACTAGTTTACTGAATATTTATTCCACACGAATATTTGCTTAATTAAATATAGTAATACGCCGGCGTCAGGATTGCAATATTTTCGTATGGAAATTTCTATTATTTTTTTCGAACAATTAAAGTAAAGTACGTATGTCAACAAATGATCAAACACTCACTGCGAGATTCTTAATTAAAATAGTATAAAATAGAGAAATGAATACGTTTTAAATGTATATTTTGTTTAGAATATCATTCGGATGTTACTTTGAGAACTATTTCATAGAAATTCTTTATAAAAAAGAAGAACAATCTTATTACGAATCTTCATCCTTTTTTTTCTCTTTTTTATAAAATAAATTATTAAAAAATGACTGTACATGTTCAATAGAATTAGCGAATGCGGCGTGTATTGAACACGTGATAATTTATTTAACAAAGCGTAAAATGTGCTTCTTCTTTATAAAAAGTCGTAGCGTTTTATCACTGAAGAGTTTGTTTCTTTTTTTTTTTTTTTCTTTTTTCTTTCTTTCTGACAATGGGCATAACGAGCAATGAACATAGTTCTACCACATGGTGCGATATTGAGCAGTTTGCACTTGATAATTGTCACACTAAGGCAATTTTGTATAATGATTAACACTGCATATACTTCCATTCACACGCGCTCGCGTTGCTCTGCGTACCACAAATCTTTTTTTCTTTTTAATAATTTACAATCACTACTTAAGTTTGATGCTTAAAATCTGTCTGTGCAAACGAAACGACCAACTGCTCAAACGGGAGTATAATTTCCTTTAGGTTTGTAAAATAATTGCCCCTTCACGGCGCGCCTCACTATCTCAGATAACAAAAGATTTTTTTCCTTCCTGATTTTTTTAAGTATACCTCGATTCTCTTGGGCACGCCGAGAAAGATACGGTAATACTTCTTGAACTGGCCCATAAGGAATATATTTATACGCTGAGTATCCAGACTGACCTGAAATTCAAATCAATCACATTATTTTAAAAATTACAGATGCAATCATTTATTTATTGAAATTATTGATATAATAAATTATCAAAAATACTATACCTAACGGAAATGTAATATAATCACACATTCCCAATAACTGGCCGAAACAGATCACTTTGTCCTCTGGTGAGATTCCAATCTCCTTCATTCTGTATTATTACCATAACACTCGTATTAATAACAAATCAATATACAATTATCGTTAGAATTAGAGAAAATATTATTTTACATACTTCTCGATAGCAAAACGTACTGTGTCCTCGTTATGAGAGGCAACCATAATTCCTATCTTTTTAGGATCTTCTCCTTTATCTTTGTACTGTTTCATCCGCCTTAAACATTCCATCAGAGTTTTATGGTACGATTCAGTAGTAGCATCGTACGTAGGATTTATCGGATCAGGATAACCCATAGCTGCCGCTCTTGCTCTCTCCTAAACGAACGATCCCAAAAATGTAATGAAATTAAGGAATAATAATAAATTGAAATGTTTCAGTAGCTATCTAACCTGATCGATATACGCTCCACGAACAAGTTTAGCACCGAAATAAAAGTTCTGACGTTCAGCTTGTTCGAGATCCGTTTTCACTTCATTATATGCTTCTTGCAAATATGTTTGGTAAGTATTGAACACCACAGCCTATGAAGTACACCATTTGGATTTAGACCACTGAAAATTTACTAAGTGATAATATCATATTTACTAAGCTAAATTATTACCTTATGTGTATTGTACTTGCGCATCATTTCCAACGTTAATCGCGATATCGCAGGTTGGAAATACGTTTGTTCGGCGTCTACCATTAAACGTACGTTTAACTTATCAGCCACCTGAAAGAAAAGTTAGCAATTCTGTTTCTGCTAACAAAACTAAACCTTTTTTTGTTATATTTCCTATACACCTAGTAAAATTATTAATAATATTTTTACATCAACGTGTAAGTTTCATTAATACTAAGCGTACCGAGATTTAATATATACCTATTTGTACCGCAACCGGTCAAATAACCTGTCGTGGTGACGCTAGATTATACGTGTTTATCGGATTCAACAAATAAAAATATAAATAAATGATGTAAAATTGTATATTTTTAATAGAAAAAATCATCAAGTCAAATGTAAAAAAGCGATAATATTTTATGCGAATTTTCTAATTAAAAGTTTACAACCGGTTATTTGACCGGTCCATGGTAAGTTTAGTGTTAAAAAAGAAAGAAAAATGGAAAGACGAGAGAATGATGTAACAGTACCTTACATATTATACAAAATATAGATCCCCTCCCTACACCCTAATAAAATGTAAAAGAATGATTTTAGAGCTATTCCTATTAGCATCCACGAAAACATTAACATTTTCAAAGCTCTAATCTACATCTTGAATTTATATTTATACTTATACTTCGTTTGAAAATATTCGTACCGTAACAATGTTATTCAGACGTCTTATCATGTTCCTGAACATTTCTTCTTCCTTTGACGTTAGCTGCGACATCAGCCTCACCATTTTACCAGTCTTAATATCGGGTACTTGGAACGTTTCGCTGAGTTCATAATTCTCGTCTAGAATTCCACTCCACGGGAATAAATGGATAACACTGAAAGCAATAAAGAATTTATACTCATTCGAATAGCGACACTGGGTTAATAATGAACAATAATTTCGATCAATTACCCCTCCTTATCCGATTGAATCTTTTGAAGGAATTTTTGAACTGTCACCTCATCTTTGATGTGTGCTTCTTCAAATTTCTTCATAAAATCATCAGGTTTCGCATGATGGGTTAAAACGGCACCCTCACCCCCAACTACATCTGACATGTATTGTCTTGCTCGCATAATTACTTCTGATAATTGAAGCTGCAAATAATGAAATGTATAATAGTCAATTTGTTTGTTTTTTTGAAGGGTTTCACTTTTCCACTTACCAGAAGTTGTGGACGGCCAAGAGCTGTTAATTTAATGGCTGTAATACCAACTCCCATTGAAGCCGCTGTAACAAGTAACAAATATATTAATTACGTTAATTGTAGGATACAGAAAATTGGTCTTTAAAAAAAAATAATTGAATAAAATACGTTCATGTGGATGTGAGAAAAAAAGTTTTTCTTTTACCATGATTAAACTCAATTAAATAAATGTATATTTTGTTCAAGAAAGGGAGTTAAATCTTTTGAACCAATTTAAAGCACCGTTATGTGACGTTATTTGGTCGCATAGCAGAATACAAGATTCTCTACTGGAGATATTTATAGACTGTACGTTTTCGTATCCTTGACTAGCAAAATTTCTGAAGTCCACCCTAAAAAAGTTTACCTTGGCACTGTTAAAGCAGATCCATTAAAATTGCTATTGAACAATTATACTATATACAGCATAATACATGATAGAAAATTAAATGTTCTATAATTTTACATTGTTATTTAACATTAGAAAATTGCGAACATTTCAGATATCTTCAGTTATCATGATCGGTAAATTAATTCGGGAGTCTAGCTTTTTAGCTTTCTCTTTGTTATCCAATTTTAGTACTGATTTGGAATGTTCGAGAACACAAACAGTCTCATGTCGTACCATACATAGATACATACAACAGTGGATTACAAAATTATTCGCTCACCGTTTAAAACAGAATACCTCATTTAAAATTGGACCAAATGACTTGAGGCTTTTTGAGAAGCTGTAAAAATTAATTTACTAAGATATGATACTGGATGCTTTTGCTGTGTTAAAAAATTACAATTTTTCGAAATCGGGAAAAAAATTGTAAAAGACAATTTTTTAACTTTTTCATTTGAGCCTATAATAATAATTTAAAATATGACAATTGTAAATTTAAATATGTTATGTGTATGCGGAAAATTTCATCGAGATCGGTTAATACACTTGAATTAAAATTTCCGAAAATCGTGATTTTTCATCTAAGAACATAACTAGTCACGTTCTTAGGTGAAAAGTCGCAATTTTCGGAAATTTTAATTACTTGTAACTTCTAAATTTACAAATGTCATATTTTAAATTTTCATTATAGCCTCTCATAAAAAAGTTGAAAAATTACCTTTTGCAATTTTTTTTTCACGATTTCAACAAATTGTAATTTTTTAAAACGATAAAAATACATATTCTATGGAATTAATTTTTATAGCTTCTCAAAAAGCCTCAAGTCATTTGGTCCAATTTTAAATTAGGTATTCTGTTTTAAACGGTGAGCGAATAATTTTGTGACCCACTGTACATACATAATGTATGCGAATTCTAATCTCGGATACACGTACTTTTTAAGCATCAATAAAAATTATAATCCCATTAAACTGGAGTATAATTTACAATGTACAATATCACATCCTATTAATCACCTGTTAGTGGCGTTCAATTTTTCAGGTGCGCTAAATATTTTCAATTACAATGATTTATTAAGTACCGATAAATCCCGTTTGCGATAAGCATTTCATTTTGGAAAATGGAAATACGTGTATCCCTAGGAAGAATATCGCTTTTCCTTCATGGACCATCAACATTTTCATCATGTATTAGATACTAATTTTCTCTCAAATCTAATTCAAACAACTTATGGCATACATGTTTTGTTATATGATTTACTTGATATTCTTTACAACTGTTTTCGTCCCATACTTCCAGAGAATATCAGTAATCTTGTAAAGCAATATTTTTCCTAAACATTATTGGGTATACTTCCGAAAGGCCCCCCCACTCTCTAGGACAACCAAACTTCGGATTTATAGTAATTGAGGGACGAGAAATCGAATGAGACCATTTTCAGAACTGGCAAATAAACCGTTCTCGAGATATACAGGGTATTCTAAAAGTGTGGGACCCACCTATTATCTCGATAAGAACGCATTTCCACGGAAAATGACTAAAACAAAAGTTGTAGGGGTCGTAAAGTATTATCTTGTAGTGACCTTGAACTTAACCTTGCAGGTTAGGATTAGGGTTAAGGTTAGGGTTAGGTTGGGTTTAGGTTAGGCGTAAGGCGTCTGGTAGGTGTAGTCGCTAACCCACGCAGGGTAGCTTTTTCGACCCTAATTCAACATTCCTTACGCCGACAACGGGTCAGGTGTTGGGTTTTTCTTACCCGAAAACGATAATTGGCACGCCTGTGTCTGGATAGTTCATCCATACCCGGCGCCACTTGGAGAGTGGCCGACTAGTGGGGAGTGGATTTATTTAGAGCAATTGCGCCCTTTAACGCAAAAGTACCTGTATCTCTGAAACGGTTAGAGATCCAGCTCTGTAATTGGTCTCATTCGATTTCTCGTCCCTCAATTACTATAAATCCGAAGTGTGGTTGTCCTGGGTGGGGGGGGGCCTTTCGGAAGTTTCCCCACATTATTTTATCCAGAGCTTCCTTTTAACGATGCTAGGATAATTTACGCAAAACCTGACTCACCGGCTACAGATTCTAGGCATTTAATAAAAATGTCCATGTTACGTTCACAATTAGCTTCGTTTAGGTAGAAGTACGTTCTCGCTGAAGATACTTTGTATCGACGATCAGCGAACGGTCTTGCAACATGGTATTTCTTCATGGGTCCTTCTCTCCTCTCATCTCCAGCTTCTGATACGGAACCTCTGTTAAACGGTACAAATTATTTTATTGTACGTATAATTCTAATACAATCGTATAATTTTTCAGGTGAACTGATGCCAACACCTACTGTATTTCGCGTCGTTCCGCCTCTTCCTGCGAGATATCTTCTTCGACGGAATAATCAAGGATAGGTTTTACACCGAACTGTCGTAATCTATCCAGGACAGGAGTGATCTGCGCCTCGTCTTCGCCGGCAACAAAGTGACCGTAGAATGTAGCCTTCATAAACTTTGTAAAAAGTTTTTCGCCAAGCAGCTTCTTGGTGATTTTCATTATCTGAAACAAATGGAATGAGAAATATGTACTTAGCAAATACTAAATTATTCAATACTGAGAATAAAAGCAATGTAACAGTAACTGATGGATGTAAAACGTATTCAACGTTATGCATTACATAATCAGTTTGAAAATAACTTTGTTCATTTTTCAGTGTCTTTATTCTGGTCCATTAAATTAACTAGTTAGCCACAAGTACGTTAAAACCACAAAATTATAAAACTACGTCTTTAAATTTCACCGCAGTATTAACATAAAACCTACTTTAGTAATTTTCCTGATAAAAACTGTGCCTTGTACTTCTATTCATTTAAATGCCACTTCTTATCCGATGTAAAATTATCTCTGCTATAATTGTTTTCTGTTACACACCGCATTTCTATGGTAAGAAAAAAACTCCTTCGCGATTGAAATTCGAAAAAGGGTATAGCCGGATAAGATGGTCAAAAGTACCCCCAAACCAAATTCGACTTGCTATGAACCATTCGATAGGCGATCAAAAAAAACCAGTCTGTGCCAAGTTTCAACCCGGTACCTCATCTGGGAGGGTAGTTACGGGTAAAAATGTAATCGCGAAGTTTTTGGCCAATTTCTCCTATTTAATGACATTCGAAAATTCTGAAAAAAATCAGAGACATTTCTATTTGTGAGGCACATATTACAGAATTTTTCCAGATTTTTAGATTGAAAATTGAAGCCGTGAAAAGTCAAAAACGTTAAAAAATACTGAAAAATGGCGATTTTGTATGGAAGGAGTCGCGGATCTGGATTCATATTTTTTTTATAAGTGTATATTATCGATACTATTATTCTCAATTTTTTTGAGAATTTTTGGTCAGGTGCGCCGCAGTTAAAAAAAATTAAAAACCGATATTTTCGACATAATTCATGCGATAACATGAGATACACTTAGTGTTTTATGTGATTTTCAATCTAAAAATCTGAAAAAATTCTGTAATATGTGCCTCACAAATAAAAATGTCTCTGATTTTTTTCAGAATTTTCGAATGTCATTAAATAGGAGAAATTGGCCAAAAACTTCGCGATTACATTTTTACCCGTAACTACCCTCCCAGATGAGATACCGGGTTGAAACTTGGCACAGACTGATTTTTTTTTGATCGCCTATCGAATGGTTCATAGCAAGTCGAATTTGGTTTGGGGACACTTTTGACCATCTTATCCGGCTATACCCTTTCCTATCGATTATACGATAGAATCGACATTCCTACTGTTCTCTTATTAAACATGCGTGCACTAAATTCGCTTACTGTAATTACTTGTAACGCTCGTTACAGTAGTTGATGGTCAATTTAAAATATTTGTATCGTGTTATAAATAATTTAAAAAATTGAAGAAGACAAAGAGCATGGAATATCTATGAACGGATGGTAAAAAGAAAGGAAAAATCTGCTGGTAAGAATTAAATGAAATGATTGCATTTAATAAAGTGGATAATGTGACGAACTCTTATCTGAATTTTACGTATGAATAGGCTAGATAAGAGTGCGATACGAGATATGTATTCGAAATATGCATTGTAGACGCGACAATCACACACGTCATTGATTAGGAAGACATGTAGGTTGTGTGAAGTGCACCGACCAACTTTGCCAAGATCAATAAGCTCTTGGCAAAAAACGTTCACTCTTAGACATTAGCCAATCGATAAAGTGCTACTGTCAGAATATTCGTTGCCTGGAACTCGGGAATTTTATTTCTATGAAAAATTTCCCCTAGATTAACATTTATACGTTCTTACATTATTTTCATTTTTCGAACATTCACACCGTTTCTTTTAATATCACTTGGAAAGAGTATATTTGAAGTAGCAGTGAATTGGTCTGCGATCGCGATTGACCCAGTTCCATCGTCCAAGGGTTGAATACCCTAACCTAACCTCATCCCGTACCGTAATTCTACTGTTACTGTTTAATCTTCGCGTCAGTGCAGGGTCATTCTGACCCGCTATCACTCGCGTATTCTTTTGACAAGAGGATTTAATAGAATCGTCTATTTAATTGTTACAGATTCGGAAGCGTGCTGCTAATAATTGAAGCGACGAGTATACCAAGAATTAACCGGTGTTATCTGACTCTACCTCGCTCGACTCTGATTGTGAACGCGTCAGGGGTGAAAATAACGAGAGCTGTGTCGCTTTCATTATCACGATATTAAGCTGGAAATTTTGTTAATTTATGCGAGCAAATTTTTCACTTATTCATGGCTCCATCGATCACTCGTCGATCACAAAGGGATGATAATTCGAAAAATGAGGCAATTTTATTTCAGTTTAATTTCGATTAATAACTAGAATTTCAGGTGTAATCGATCACTCGTCGATCACAAAGCGATGATAATTCGAAAAATGAGGCAATTTTATTTCAGTTTAATTTCAACGACTAACTACAATTTTAGGTGTAATCGATCACTCGTCGATCACAAAGCGATCATAATTCGAAAAATGAGGCAATTTTATTTCAGTTTAATTTCAATGACTAACTAGAATTTCAGGTGTAATCGATCACTCATCGATCACAAAGCGATGATAATTCGAAAAATGAGGCAATTTCATTTTTGTTTAATTTCAACGACTAACTAGAATTTCAGGTGTAATCGATCACTCATCGATCACAAAGCGATGATAATTCGAAAAATGAGGCAATTTCATTTTTGTTTAATTTCAACGACTAACTAGAATTTCAGGTGTAATCGATCACTCGTCGATCACAAAGCAATGATAATTAAAAAAATGAAGCAATTCAATTTCAATTTCATTTCAATTACTAACTAGAATTTCAGGTGTAAAAATTAATTTCTACATTAATGGCTCAACGATCACAAAGCGATGATAATTCGAAAAATGAAGCAATTCAATTTCAATTTCATTTCAATTACTAACTAGAATTAATTAGGTGTAGAAATTAATTTATAATATTAGATAATACTAATTGTAAGTCGAGATTCAAGGAGAAAAACAAAATGCAATTAGTCGTAAGTTCGAAATAGATCCGTAGGATGGTCGTGATGCAAATGGAAAGGGTTGAACGTAATTACGAACACGTTTCTTCATCGATTCGATGTCAATAGGTTTCACGAGACAATTTATCGTGAAATCGTAGGAATAAAGTATCGAGGGAATTTCCAATTGTTAAACAGACCACCAGACTACTTCTATATGTAAAAGAAATTGATCATTATGATCTGTTTATTATCTGAGATTTGTCACCTGAGATTTCAGCTGATCTCTCTAATTAACATACATAAATGATCAATTAATCTTGCGCGACACTTGTCAGATTAATCGACGATGTAAATATCATACAATCTGTATTTTTTTCAATACCGATTTAATAATAGATAAGAAACGTCTGAACAAGGTTTAAATTTCATTGTGGTAATAGATTTAAAAATAATACTCGAACGTTAATTTTGAAACAACTGTCGGACAAAATGCTTTTCTCACTATAATTTCCTGTAAATTATTCGTTCTCATTAACATTACATTATATAAAAAACAAGATTAACACGTGCTTAATGATTTGTAAATTAGTCAAGTAAATGTATTATTATCAAAGTTATTTGGATAGTTTGTACTTCGCATTCAAACGTAAATCATTCTTCATAAATTATTTTCAATTTACTTGGTTGAGCTTTCAGTTTCGTTGAAACTTTGCATTCGATGCTGAAAAGATATTAATTAATAATTTCTTTCTACGAAATGAAGTTACTGTTTTGAAAATCAAAGTCTAAGTTTATTATGCATATATAATAGGTGGATTCGTAAAGTATACTTAAAACATTCTTGCTGTCAGTAGTTTCATGATTATGTTACTTATCAGTAAGTATATATGACGTTGGCAAACTTGAATAATCCTCGTAAAACTTTCTTATCGTCATTACATAAACAAAACATTAGCTGATGTGTACAGGGTTTCGTTTCAGTAAATATGTATTATCAGTCAATACCAATTGACGCAGGGTGTCATATGCAACTCTAAAAAAAATGAAATAGTTTTGAACTATTCCCTATGTCAACCTGGTCCCTACCGCCCACTAGTGGACGTTTCAGGTTTCATGGTGGGCGGTAGGGGTTTTGTTCGATACTGAAACACTTTCCTTTTTTTTAATTTAACCCATTATGCGCCAGTGTTCCATTTTTGGGACACATTTTCAAATTTTTTTATTAGAAGTTGCAGTTATTAAAAGAAAAAAATTTGAAAATGTGTCCCAAAAATGGGACATTGGCGGATAACGTGTTAATTTACTTTTTAAAAACATTGAAATGGAAATTTTACTTCCTTTACTACAAGCAAAGTTACTTCCCTACTAATAAATCACCATTACTGTGGAACCGGTTGGAGGTTAGAAAATTTTACTACTACAGAGATACAAAACTGAGCGGTAGGTATAAAAAGGTTGACTACCCCTGCTCTAAAGTATCATTAAATTTTCATATTTCCGGTCGTGTAGACCCCGCAATGAAAGTTGAATGATTTTTCGCTAAATTTTAGCCTGCTCTATTGTGGAAATTTTTCGACCAGCTAACCTTGAAACTAAAGCACGTGTCGTTTAGGTTTAGTTCGATGAGAAACCGTGATTTCTCTTCCTCGCTTTCTGATTCATTTACATACACGTATTCTTTTGCTGTTATACCACGTGTCGAATAAATGATCGGTATTTTAACACTGGCACAGCTAAATTCGTCCTGATTCAGAATCAAATCAAGTTCGAAGTGAAAAATAAGAAAACTTAGTAGTCGTTCGGTCTAAATCGCATTTACCTGGTTAAAGCCAGTTAAAACTACCTAACAATTTTTAACCGCAAAGTTTCGTAACTTTCTGATACATTCTCTAGATCTGATGAAACCATGAAATTTTATCCAGGTGACCTTACAGATACTCTTGATTTATTATATCGCGAGATAGACATTTAACAGCATCGGCTATCACGAGGGTCACGATGGCCGAAGCTAAAAATTTAATCATTCTAATACAGAGATACGATAAATCCGAGTGAACAACGTGATGATCGGCGCTAATTAAAGACGGTTCATTTGATATGCAAGAAACTCATCTGCTCGTCTAAGCACGTGAATCAGTCACGCGGCATAGCGATGAATCGATCAGTATGTGCAGCGCAAATACTGATTCTACTCGTAGATACGATGTATATGAAAAGATTCTAAAATAATGTCGTGTCTGTCTGGCAAGTGTCTGAACGAAGTCTACGACATCGACGAGGTTCGAGGCAGCAATCTACTTTGAGTCAGCGTATCAGGGTTACACAGCCAGACAGATAGACAGTGTCTGGAAACGGCAAAGTGAATGCACCAACGCAATGATGCACCCATTCTCACTCTATACTCTATACACAGGGTGTCCTGTTATTTCTTTAATTAATCCAATAAGGAACAAAGAATTTTTTTTCTATTTCTATCTTTCACATTATCACGTTAGAAGATTACTAGGCTGCAGTTCCATGTTTCACCGCCCGTAGAACCAAAATTAGGATATGTCTCCTGATAGATCTCGACGAATCCTAATGAATAATGAAAAAGTTATAACCGATTGAATTTTTGTATTTTTTACTTAAAAGGAAGTTTAACCCGTTCGCGACGGGGTGTACGGGATGAGCCACCGGTGTTGCATGAACTATTATCGCGTCATAGCATTTAAATAACTGATTATTGTAATTAACAAATTTTTGAAAACCCCGCCCCATGGCGGGGACACGAGATTCAGGCCCCATCGCGAACGTGTTAAAGTTCCTATTTATTATAGCGGTTAAGTGGCGCATAGGTTATGGCATTCGTTCTTCGACAGCGAGACCGGGAATTCAAATCCCCTAGGAGCAAAAAAGAAAAACAATTTTTCTCCGAACATCTTAACCATACAAAGTTCAATTGCATTTCCTCTCTCGATTTAATTAGGTTTTAGGTTAGGTTAATTTTTTTCATTTGCGCAACCTGAAACTAGGCTCATTCGACAGGACTCGTCGGAAGACGGTGAAATACGGAACTGTACTCGATTATTACTTTATCGATATTATTAGCTATCATAATTGGCAGCATACAATTTTGTATTTTTAATATTTAAAAAGTATCACTAATTAACGCAAACATCCTGTGTACTTTGAATTGGAATATCATTAGCGGGGCAAAATAAACGATGCACCAATTAATCTATCTTTATTCCAGCAGTGTTTCGCCTAGCCGCCAGTCTGTCGTTAATATTCAGTAATTAGAATCTGCACGCCTTTTCAATACTCGTCACACGCGACCACTGTATATCAGTGAACAAACAGGTCACGCGGAATAACAAGCGCATATTATGATATCGAGTCGTAAAGAATCCGATAGAAATCGTTATACGATCGTAATCACTGTTCGGACTGTGTTATTAATTGTTTTATTCTTGTCACGAGGGTAGATATCAACAACATTGACTGCCGCACTGTGGGGGTCGTCGGTGTCTGGCGCCTCAAATTAATATAATCCTCTAATTAATCCTCCCACCATCGATTCGACAAATCAATTTGAAATATTCTTGATTTCTTGATTCATTAAGATCATAGTTACTTAAAATTCGATAGATAATATTTTTCTCAAACATTATAGTAATTGTTGGATTATGTGCACGTAACAATCATTTCTTATATAAGACGAAGGATAAAAAATATTTTTAAAATAATCAAACAGAGTACCGCATCAACGTTTATTCGTGTACTGAACAAATATTATCTCTGAAACATGATCATTTTTATATTATTATTAAAAGAAAAAAAAAAAGAAATAAATGATTTTTCCTTCATCATTCGAGAGTTCAAAAAACGTTTATCCCCGTGTTTTTTTTTCCCCCATTGAAAAATAAGCTGTTATCGTACCTTTATGATACACTGAGAATTTCATTTTTCAAAATTAATAGGTTTCCTCCCGGTAGCTTCTAATCAAAGACCTTCGGTCTCCTCTTTCATCCAGTACTAACACAATTTACAAGGAATATTAACCCTCTTGTACATTCAGTTCAAATGGATTTTATTATAATAATAAAAAAAAAAAGCATAAGTATCTGTTTCTAAATTTTTATTTTCATATCTTTTGTGAAAAAATTTTTACGATATTAGAATTTATTTTTACAAATAGAATTCTATAAAGAATGAAAAGAAAAAAGAGATAATACATTGTTTTGTTATCGGTAACTGAGAATGTAATTACTCAGACACTTGAAATTATCGTTTGATACAGTGCATATTGATTAGATAAAAAATCACAGAAGCTTCATACCAGCTGTATCATTTAATATTTTTAATCGTGGAAAATCCAGAATAATAAACAGCCGTAAATCTTTTTCAACGAAACGAGATTGCTCGGGACAGTCTGAAAAGGGGATCAGTATCGTCTTAAGATGATTATCGTAGCAGCAAGTTACTTTATAAGATGGCTGACAATTTTTCTTTTTTGCATAATAAATAAGATTGTTAAAGAACTTTGCATACATTTTCATAATTAAATAAGCTTGTACAGTTGTTAAAGTATAACTTCAATTGTATTTCTCTTAAGCTTCTTTTCGTAATGTGTTTCCAGCTGTATTTACATATTACGTTTATTATAGTTATTTGAACTGAAATTCTACGCGGGTATTTATTATTTTTACCAAGAAATTCTCTAGTACTTTCGATCACGTGATTTTTCATGATGAATCGAAGAGATGTAATTTTTGTGCAATCTTTCGATATATCGAACACAACATCGCGTATATCTCTTTGTATTTCATGGAAATAATCTATCGATAAGCGTTCGATGAATATAATTTGAGGTACCGCGACAAGTGATAAAAGAACTAATCACTGATACTGTTTTACGTTTTGTTACGTTTCGAAAACGTGTCATCAGATAATTCGATACAACGATTTTTTGGATGACGCATCTGAAACACAATTATTATTTTCCACATATTTTATAGGGATAAATGTTCCTCCGTTTATAGGGATTAATTTTTAGAAGTAGTATTGTCAAATGAAAAAATAATCACTTGTCTCGCCAAGTAAAGAGGTTAGAGTAGAAACGTTATTACGAGTCATGTCGCAGTTTAAAAAATCAATAATGATCAATAGAAGGGTGTCATGGTGGTGTCGTACATTCAGGATAGGAAATGAATCACCAAGTACTAGAATATCTATTTATGTGTAACCGACAAGAAACCGTACTATAATTAAACACGGAGAATTCAATTTTCTTTATAGCAAAACATTGTGTTCTGATTATTATACATAAACAATGCAATTATATATTTTTGACAGAACACGTAACGACGACTATTTCATACCTTCAGAAATTATTAATAGCCTACTTTAGACATTATTAATAACGACGAGATGATGGGTTAGAACAATAGAGCATTAATGGCAAACCCGTACATCTTCGAAATAAATTGTATTTCCATTGTGACGGATAAAAATATTTAAAGCACTATTTAAACGTAATCCTGTACTCAAGCAAAAAACCATATCTGATGTACATTATAAAAAAAGAATTTAACGTATCACGAATATACGAACGGCGATAAAATACTTGTTAATTCGATTAGATATATGTACTATTAATATCCTGATACACAATGAAAAGTAAAGAAACAAAAAAAAAAAATGATACAACGTTACAGTTTACATTTTACTTTCAGAATTAATTTCGTAGCTTGAAAGTAAACAACTGAGCATGAATGGAAGGATTTTTATTACATCAGAAATAAGGAAAAAGATGTTCTCGACGATGTTAAGGATGATTTAGACGGTCCTTTGAACGAACATTTCTAAAGTGTTACGTAATTGGTTACCAGTTTGCGACAAAATTGCTAGGTCGATTCAATGTATTAAGCATTACTAAAATCAATAACGCGCCATGCCACGTCGTACAAATCGCGTACGAATCCCGACGCTGTCAATAAAAGATGTCACTGTTCTACCAACTAATTAATGAAAAGTTTGGAAAATACACATCAATGAATTGCATTCATTAACGTCATTTTAGCGAAAGAATCGTCTACTGATTTATTCGACCGACTCCTCCATGGAATCCCCAACTTATACTGCATTCTCAAGTATGCATCCTTCCGACATCTACACGCATTGTATAACGACAAGTAGAACCTAGGAACGAACGAACGAACCAACCAACCATTTCCCTCAGATGGTAGAGAATTACGTATAAATCTCCTGAATGTAGTTTTTATGACACATTCATCACTTTTAATTGCACATTCATGTACATGTATGATTTATTTCCACGATATTTTTTTAAACATATTTACATTAGTTATATCAAATATATTGACGTGTTAAGAAAAATTATAGTTTCTTATACAGAGAAATGAATTACAGTGTTAAAAATGAAAATGACAGAAACTTTAACAGATATTAATTGTACACTGCCATAATAATATTCTACATTGTATGACGGATTAATCGTGGAATTAATATTAAATAAGAGGTACAGGATAACAAATATTTTTGTATTTTACATTATTATAATCGTTTAACGAATCTGACGAGAAGAAACGAAATCTAAAAAATAACCTTCCAGCATTTATGCCACAAATGATCCAATGATCTTGATATCCTGAAGTACATGATGAACAGCATAAAGAACACATGTCAATCTATTTCCCTCATTTTTCATTCTCTTTCTTTCTCTCTCTCTCTCTCTCTCTCCCTCTCTCTACGTCACACAAACATAATTCCTTTACAATATATGGATATACATACACATTATACATATAACGTCATCAGATACGACAACTATTACGAATCATGCAAAACTTACCTTCATATTGTTCTCGACGATATACTCGATTGAACATAGTTGATAAACAATATAAGCACGTATCAGTTCTTTAGTGGTTTTGCTTTTAAAGGCTGCTATCGGATCGTTAAAGTTTAAATCCAAAGGATCAATCTGACGAGTAATCGGCTTCACGTTAACGTTAGCAGTAGTGCCGGTGTATTCGCGTTCGTGCACCTGCACCAACTGCACCGATGGCTTCGTTACGTTCTCTAGAAACCCGACAGGAAGTGGTACACACTTCCTTAGCTTTTTACCGGCACTGCAACGCGGCACCGATCTCAAAAACGCCATACCTTGGTGTCGCGTGTCTAATGTAAGAAATGTCAGCAATCAGACGCTATGTGTAGAAAATGAATGGTAACCCAGCCAACCTAAACCGAGACAATTCCTTTTCGAAGTTTCACTGAAAAAACGTACGAGCTGATATGTACGGTTGACCGTTCCACTGTTAAACGAATATTAAGCAAGGCTATATTCTCGGTGACAAAACGGGGTAAATCCAACCTGCCACGATCGAGTCGGAGACCCCAATACCAATAGAGGTATCTCGTCAAAGCTTAAGCCGAATCACAAGGTGGGGTACTCGCAGACATTCAGCGACGTACAAGGCAACCGCTTACCTTACGACAATACACTCTAATAACGTAAGATCTATTTGAAAGATACGTTTCGAGACAACTTTAAAATGTTTAGAAATTTTTCAACAAACGTTCTTTTTTATTTTGTTATAAATATAACGCGGCAAAGTGAATTTCAATTGTTGTACATTGCCCCAATTATCACATTGTAACGATAGTTACCGGTCCTCTCATTGGACAGTCACAGAGGTGTGTTCGGTTTGGCGAACGTGATTGGTCGGTTAAATTTTGGGAAATGCCAATAAATGCGCCGTAGTACAACGCGCACAGTGGCGCAAAACACGTTTTGCATTGCCCTGAACTGTGCCATATAATTTTATTTCATTGGTCACGATGTATATTTCGACAATTAACTAATTTAAACTACGAATGACATTTGTTAAAGGTATATGTACATATATTTTATTGTGTTTATTTATCTTGTAATATATCTATTACTAAATACCAATTATAGACTATTATACAACATGAATTATTTTCACTACATATTTTATATATATATATATGCTTTACATAGAATGAGTAAATCTTTGTTTATGGTGTTTTATTCAATCAATAATATGTTCAAAATATATAAGTATTATTTCAATCAATTCGATATTTATAATCGAAAGTTTCTAATCAATTTTTACATTTTTATATAATCGTAATATATCGAAATACATTTTTTATGAAACAGACTATAACACTTTAGAATATCGATAATCACGATTAAATGTATGTGTGAATGAAAATTAAAAATATATTCCATGTAAATATACATTAACAATGGAACATAAATTTGCTGTATAATTGAAACACGATAATTTCAATTTTATGTATTGTTAATATAAGTTCCATTAACAACATATAAGTACATAATACTAATAGTAATTTTGAACTGAAATTATGTTTTACTACGGTTATTTGAATTGAAAAGCATTTCGGGAAATATTGTGCCAGACATTTGAATTACATGAATACATGTCACATTCTTCTTTGATATTTTATGTAGTTTATATCTATTCCTATTCGTTATATCTTTTTATGGCTTAATTCTTTGTTTGTTTTTTTTTCTTTTAAATCAACAAGCAGTACATACGTGTACTAAAATCTGTATTCAAATTATTCGACTGTCATGTTTATAAATCCAAAAAAATAAGATGATATTTCTATGTAATTCAATTTGTAATTGAATGTTACCTTATCCACCCTACCATCTTTTTTCCTTACCACGCGTACAGTCAATTAAATTTCTAACCTCAAATTGTCAAACAAGAAGTTTGCGTAGCAAACAACATATTCACAAATGTGTTTGAAATGTTAAACATTGTGTGTTTCTTATTTAAAAACAGATATCAGAATTATCCTTTTATAAGATACATCTCGTGGCTGATTTGTTTGATATAAATTTTATTACCAAAATATCATTAATACATAAATGCTTCGAATTAACGTTTGTGATAAATGTTTATAATATGTATTATTTATATTGTCATGTAATGTTTGTACATCTAATGAAGCAACATTTATACATATTAAAAGATTCATTGAATTTTCAAAATTAAAAGAAAATGGATAATTCGATAAAATTGGTTATATATAAAGAAAGCTGGATTTTTGATAGCATTATTATTACACCCTATTATGTGATTAGATATGAACAAAAAATTAAAGACAAAAATAGCAATCAAAAAACTGTTAACGTAAACAAATTCCATAAAAACAATTTGGTAGAAGTAAATAAAATTTGTTTAAACAGGAAGGGATATAATGCCTATTTTGTATCGGCGTATGTTGTAACATTAATAAAATCACAGACATATCGTAGAGCTGCTTTTAGCAAGTTATTACAATATTTAATGTATCAATTATCAGACAAAATAAATATAGAAGTGATCTTAATGAAACTACGTACACCTAAAAAACAATTTTTAGATTATAAGTGGTAAAAATATGACTAAAGATTAATAATGAATCTGTAATAATAACCTTGTTTTAACATATAATGAATATAGAACTTATTAATTTCAGGAATGAGAGGATAACACAAATGGCATTGGAAAGAAGAGAAGTTGATCACGCTATGTCTTGGTTATCTACTTTAGGTGGAGCATTTTCTGCTCTAGGAGAAGAATTTCAGCATTGTGTAAGTTACTTTTAATTATTTGTTGATAAATTTATTGTGACACTTTGAAAAGATTGTAGTTATTTACTTTGTTCATAATACATTCTGTTTCTGCATAATATGAAAATGTATACAATTGTGTACTTGACGTTATACAAGTTCATAAATAATACATTTTTATACAGGCTGAAATGGCTGGCAAAATTTCTATAAAGCAGTTCAAATTAGCACTTCGTCTTGGAGATCCCCTTTTGGTTGCTCGTTGTAAACTATATGCTGCCTTAAGTTTAATTCAGCAAGACCATTTAAAAACACCACAAAAAATAGTTAAAAATGTATTTAAATTTTCGATTAATCATAATGATATTCGTTTACAAAAGATGTGTCGAGGTATATGGGCTAAACTTAAATATTGTTACGAAATACGAAAAGTACGGCATAAAATTAATCGATATTAATTATACAACTATCATAGTTTAGGATTAGGCTAACTGAACTTCACATTCATGTTTGAAAATAAATAATATGTACAAAATACTGTTTCTAAAAATGTATTTTTTGTAATTATTAACAAATAATATCAACAAAAAATAACATTAATTATTAAATTAAAAGTAATAATTAAGGATCCTTACATTTCTAAATGTTTTTATTAATTTCCATACAATCGGTGATTGTTTTTTTCAATTTTTCAGTTATTGGCTTTTTTTTTCCCTTGGAATTATTGACATTATTTCATGGTTTATAGTAAGTGTGTACATTTGAAAAAATATCTGATGACATATCTTAATTTTTGTTTGGTTTCTTATGACATTCAACTGAGAACTTACTTCAAACATTAAATTCATCATGGTAGTAAGCGAAAAACAACACAAGAATTTCATTGTTGGTAAGCAAATATAAATAGGAAAGTAGATTATACAAGGGATCATCTTAGATTTTAGGAACTATCTTAAATGTACATTGTTAATGTTTTAGCAATTTCAGCAGAGTATGTTACTTCAAATAAATTCGAAAAAAAAAAATATGTTAGATCGTTCAAACCTTATAATTCAAGATCTTAGAATTATTTCTTAGTTGTTATTCAATTAAAAACATTGTTAAAGTCTTAGTTTGTTGTACTTTGTGTACCAGTGTGCTTAAAATTTTGTTTGCTATTTAATTTTAAACTCCTTTATTAACTAAAAAATTTCCTCTTTAAATATTTAAGCTTACATTACTATCAGTGAGCAAGAGTACCCATAGGATCCCATGCAGGTAAGATAATAGGTTCTTGTTTAAATACAGCCAAAACATCTGCAGGTACTAATTTTTTATCAATAACTGCTTCAAAAACAAATTCAGAAAACCAATCAGCTGTTAATAACAGATATCCCTTCTGTCCATGATCATCTCCCCAAGAATTTTCTACTCTGAATTGTTTAATTTTACCATCATTCTAAAAACAAAATGTTCAAATAATCCGTATTACATAACTTATCATATAAATTATCTTGTTACTTTTTATTTTAATAAAACCTTGTTGACTTACATCGATAGAAACAGCTGTGAGTGCCATCGCATGAACCATCATAGAATCTCCATATAGTAATCTGTCTGCTTTTGTAAGATTAACTTGAATATCAGTTCCAAACATTAGTTCGAAATCATAAGCTTTCATATCTTGTATACCCTGTTTAACTATTAACCGTTTATTAACGTCACATCCGAACCATACTGGTTCATTTTGTTTTATACTTTCAGCGCATAACTTCATTAGTAACTCAGGTGGTTGATTATTATATAGCGTAGGTCTTCCACCCATAACATTTCCTAAACAATCTATCGTATAAAGTTTTCCATATGGATTAGACGGTCTTGGATCTGTTACTAAACATACTTTATCGTCTACATTGTAATATGGTTTCACATATTTTTCATAAAATTCTAGTGGTGTAACAGGTCCGACAGAATTATAATTTTTAGACTTATCATAATACACCCAGGTGATTGTTTTCGACGGTATTCCTAAACAAATACCGAGTATTTGATAAATCATTATCATCTGTTCCAAGATTAAAGCTTCTATTTCTTTGTCTGTTCCACCCTTAGATACTAAATCTCGTAGGGCTTTGGAATACTCTCTTAGTTTACTTTTTAATATTGTATTCATACGTGAACTAGATTCACAACTATATGATTCTGGGAAACAGGCTTTAGGAACAAGACCATGCCTGTTTATAAGATTGACAATCATGTCCCATTGTCCTCCGTCGCAAATAGGATCGTGCAATAAGAACGATACCAAACGACCTTCTACTGATTCATTTCGTTTAGCTGTTTTTACAATATTATGTAAAAAATAATTGCATCGTTCCAGCTATAAAATTAATAGTAGAATTGTTATATGTATATATATTTATATATATACACATTTCATGATTCATTAAAAATTTATAATATTAACCTTATCCCAGAAGAATAGATAAGCTTGACTAAATTCAAATTCATCTAAATTGTATTGCTTCATAAAGGCAGTTCTTATAATGTTTAAAGTTGAAAATATCCAACATCTTCCTGAATTCTTTTGATTTGTTATGGGCTTTCCTTCGGTTGCAATCTTATAAGTGAAAACGTGTTGCGATTCTTGCAAAACCTTTCTTGATATGCAAGCCTCCAATGGGTTGGTCCTTGTACAGACATTCTGTGCCAAGATGTTGCGCTTATCTTCATAAAATATTACGCGTAACTGATCCAAAACTTCTGTTGTCAAAACACCTGCTACTTAAACAGAATAATAAAACATTTATAACTGAAATTTCATCATCATATTTCTGGAAAGATAATCAGGTATATGTTACTTGAAAAAATAGCTTTACCTTATCTAATCATTTCATATGGTTAAGATAATATTGTCAATGAAATTTTGTAAAGAAACTCTTTCTTTTTTTAAATAAAAATAATTTTATACAGTATAAAATACAGGAATGCAAATATATCAGAAATTAATTAACATTAAGGTTCTTTATTAATACAAAATATATATGTATACGTATAAGTATATATCATTTCTATAATTTAATTACAGTTTAACAGCATAATTTAAAATATAAATAGAACAAAGAAATGAACACACTTATGACTTAAGCACAGTGAAACACATGAAAAAACAAATATATACATTAAAAATGATAGTACATCAAAATATTTGTAACAAATATATCGAGATAACAATGATTTATAACAAATAGAATATTTATGTTGTTCAATTATTCAATTTTAAAGTAAAATGTACCGTTCGGTATCTGTAAATTAACATAAAACATGTACGTGAAAAAAAATTCCACTGTCAATATGTTTTTAATTTCTTCGAATTATACAGCATATTAAAGAAATCGTATTTATTTTTGAACAAAATAATCACATAACCACTTGCTTCATTAAATAATAAAGAGAATCATCATAAATTAAGTAGTTGTTCATTAAAATATAAATACCTTGATAAACAGTATTAATATTAACATTAATAAGAATGGGAGTGGCTAAACGAAACGCTTAATAAACGCTTTAATTTCCATCGCAATAGAAGTTGAACTTCATTTTTATTATATTATAGAAATGTTATATTAAATAAGTACATGGAAACTGAAAATATATACATAAATAAAAACGCAACTCACGAGCATCCATCGTGACGGGTGGATTCTTCTTATGTACTTTAACTGTAACGGATTCAAGAGTTTCCAGTTTCCACCGAGTACTATATGGAGTTTAGAATTGCAAAAACATACCACTTTTCTTGCCTGTATTTCATTCGTCTGATAGACTGGCCGAAAGTGATAATGCTATTTACATCATACATTATTTCATAAACTTTAAAAAAGATCGAGATATTTAACCATTACTCGTAGGCAATTCCAATTTAAACAATTCAAGTATTATCTGTAAACCAATCAGGAAGAGAATTACGACTTACCTATTGGTGAACAAATAGAATATTTTGTAAATTTTTAGAAAACAATTTGTCTTTCAGTGAAAGGAAAATATAATAATATAATTACACATCGATCGTTTATAATTAAAATAGGATGATTGAAAATATTAATAACAATGAAATTATAATTTTTTATCGTGATTTTAATTTTTAATTTTTACAAATAAATTGTAATTTAAATTTTTTATAAATAACAAATTTATTTAAAATATGTTAAAAATAAAAATGATGAAATCAAGGAATGATATTTGCAGGTATTGTAGACTGTTACTTTTATCATGATTGTATGATTACACTTTACACAGATATGTCTTTAGTTGAGGTAAAATATATTTATGAAAAAATCGGTTTTTAAAATATCTGCTTATATTTACAATTACAGAAAACTGCATACTTAACTTCTACTCACAATGTTTACAATCAATTATTACAGCTAATATTATTAATATTGTATATTTAAGTGCCACATATTAAATTTAATCGTTAATCAATTTCTGATATATCAAGAGTTCAATTACAATGACTTTATACTTGGTATTGCATAGTATTAATTATGTATTCATATTTGGTGTAGGTGGTTCTTCTACTTTTGATTCCAATGAAAAAGGTGGAATTCTACAATCAAATGCATACCCATCTTCCCGTTCCATTCTGAATGTACCCCTAAAACAACATAATCATATCATTGATGAAGCTGTTATAAACACAAATAATAAATAAATAACTAAATACATACCACATATGGCCACTTGCAGCTTGCAAACTCACATGACTACTATATTGAAAAGCAGGTAATATTTTCGACAAAATAGGTTCTTGACCAACTACACCTCTTCCTCTAACAGTTTCTAATGTACCAGACAGACTAAATATTCTCCAATGTCTTTCACGTAATTGTACACTTAAATCTCCCAAATTTTCTAAACGTATGCAGTAGCGCCACTATACAAATTTTTTTGTTAATTTATATATGCTTATATTTATTACAAAGTGCATTAGAATACCTACCCAATGTGCAGCTGTCGCTTGGCTTCCTCTATAACCCATATAAAATGGAATAACGGTAACACGAATATTTTCGGTAGTTTCTTTATGTACATCTGACAATTCTAACCATGGATGATTCTTTTTTTGCCAAGCTTTGAGAGTTTCTTGAGCGACAAAACATGGATCATGATTCGGGTTATAAGCTAAGAATTTATCAAAAAGTTCATGTTGTAATGCAGTCTTCTCGTTTGTAGTATAAGGTAAAACATCTTCGTGCGCGACATAATCTAATCCTGGTATGGTATACAAGCTGCGGCTACTTTCATGATTACTCAAAAATGTTACAGCTTCTGTTTGAGCACGCTATACATGTATGTTATATAAGATTTACATACCTTTCATTTTTATCTACTTATTTAATACATTTGCCGTACTTACTATAAATGGGTAATCTCTTTGGTCAATTAATACCTGATAAAATGTATGAGTTCTACCTTTTACTTCTTTTCCTACACTATTATAATTATCATTTGTACTTCTGTAATTATAAATCATTCTTAAATGACTGTTATTATAAGTAAACATGTTTATGGTACAATATGATTTATTGAAAATTTAAACTTACTCTTCTCTTTTATTTGGGATGTCTCTATCGTAAACCCTTGCTGTCCATGGAAATAATATTACACCTCGATAACCAAATACTCTATGTAAAATTAATTGACCAGTTTCATATTTTCCTTGTAATTTTGGTGTTTCCAATTTTCCAACTTCTGCTAATCTAAAGAGGTATGGAATTAATCCGAGATTCTCCCATGAAACATTTTTTATATTGAAACAACAAAAATTAGTCAAAAAGTTTTGATAGAAAGACGATTTCTTGCAGTCATACATTTGCTAGCCGAATTAAGAGACACGCATTTTAGCCATTTCTTCAAAATAATGACAAAACTATTTGATATCATCCTTCATGTAACACGTAGTTTTTATTACCTGATATGTCTTACGTGACACAAACAAAATCTTTTTGGTGCTTTAAGAAAATAGCACCGTAATGTGCAAGTGGCAAAATTTCGCGCAAGTTCCATACTTTCTAAAAGGATTCTTTTTAATACAGTGAAATTTTCAGTTTAAATGATGTGGCACTGAATCCAAAATACATGATGTTTTCTTGACATTTCGAAGGTTTTTTTTACTGCGTTATAACAACGATTATTTGTCCTGTTTTGATGAACGATATTAAAGGCAAATTTTCATAGCAAGAACGATAGAACGAATTTTTTTAAACTTGAAAAACTGACTGCAGGCAGTGACTACAGATACAAAAAGACTTGTTCTCGAGTAAGCATGATGTTGCGGGTCTTAGAGACCCCAAGGTGAAATTAGGAGGGCAGGCTGCGGGCGTCTTTGCACGCGGCCCGAAGAAAAACCTGTACCGGGTACGACCTCCAATGCCGGCTACAAGATAGGCAGCAGCGGGAGGTCCAAATTGAGACCATCCCGGGGAGGGACACCTTTGTGCCAGACGTGAAGGGCTTTGGAGTAATACACGTTCCGAAGCCCTTCTTTAGCGCCAGTATCGGTCGCCGTGGGATTTTAGTCAGTAGGAATCTGACACTCACCCGTCGCCCTCCCCCAGGGGACAGTGGAGGATTTTATATTGCAAGAATTGCCCCAAAAAAAATTTTTTTTACAACCTCTGATTCCCTTACATCTCTGCATCTCTTACATTACTGCATCCCTTACATCCCCACATTTCTTATATCCCTGCATTGCTTGCATCGCTGTATTCCTTATATGTACACTATCCCTTACATCCCTGTGTCCCTTATATTCCAACATTCCTTATATCTCCGCAACCTTTACATTTCTGCATCCCCCACATCAGTGCATCCCTTATATTCCTTTCTTCATATCTGCGAATCCTTTGCATCCTTGTGTCACTTCTATTCCTGCATCCCATATATCCCTCTATAGCGCCCTCCGGCGGTTGAAAAAGGATCTAAATTTTGTAGAAATTTTGGCCCTTTAGCGGCAAAAATTCGAACTAACATTTCGATGTCGAATCAGCACCCTCTGGTTTTAGAAAAAGGAACTATATCATGCCGAATTTTTGGCCCTCTAGCGGCAAAAATTCGAACTAAAATCTTGACCTCGAATCAGCGCCCTCTGGTATTAGAAAAAGGAACTATACCATGCCGAATTTTTGGCCCTCTAGCGGCAAAAATTTAAACTAAAATCTCGACGTCGAATCAGCGCCCTCTGGTTTTAGAAAAAGGAACTATATCATGCCGAATTTTTGGCCCTCTAGCGGCGAAAATTCGAACTAAAATCTCGACCTCGAATCAGCGCCCTTTGGTTTTAGAAAAAGGAACTATATCATGCCGAAATTTTGGCCCTCTAGCGGCAAAAATTTAAACTAAAATCTCGACCTCGAATCAGCGCCCTCTGGTTTTAGAAAAAGGAACTATATCATGCCGAAATTTTGGTCCTCTGGCGTCAAATATTTCAACTAAATTCGAAACGCCGAATCAGCGTCCTCTGGTGGTAAAAATCAGAACTATATTCGTCACGTTTTATTTATTTGTGGTGTTGGTACATAAGAGATGCAGGGATATATGAGATGCCGGGCTATAAGGGGTGCAGAGACGTAAGGTATGTAGGAATATAAGTGTTGTTGGAATGTAAGGAATACAGGAATGTATGCGATGTAGGGATTGATTTTCATGTATATCATGTTTTTAATTTATTAAAGATCAAACAGGTGTTCAATATCATGTACATGAATAACGGAGAGAAGAAGTTAGCTTCATTGAATAACCAAAACGATAGAAGAATTTAAGTCAATTAAATAAACGATTGAGAAAAAAAAACCGGGCATTAAATAAGTAACTCAGAAATGAAATTTGGTAAATTAAATAATAATTCAATTGCTCTTTTAAAATGATTTATTTACCAAGGTGCATGAATTGAATACAAGTTTGTTAAATAATTGTAATAATAATAATTGTTATTTTTCAGAGTTGCGGATGATTTTGATGATGTTGATGATGCCAATAATATCGACAGAAGGATAGGGTGGTAGTATAGAGTGTGGCGGCCATCGTCGATGCCGATAATGAAGAGATCTTCGATGTTCATAAAAAAGAGATTTTCAACGCCGCCTAAAGTCATTATCACCACCTCCCTTCGGTGTTATTACTCATCATTTATTTTATCAAACAAATTCAAATAACTTTGTAAAGAATGATTCCCCAAGGGGAATCCAATAAAATACATACATACCATACTATACATACATACATACAATTCAAATAACTTTTTTGTACTTTCATTCGTTCCTCAATCTTCAAACTGAGAAGTCTTGTTAACATTTATAAAGATCAATTTCAATTCCAATAAATGATTTATATTAATTCTATCTAATAAACCTCCATACTTTGAAGCACATCTTCCTTCCCTATCGACGACCGAAGACTGACTGACGTGCCTCAGCGCGAGACGTCTAATTTATAGAATTGTATATCTGCCCCACAAGGACGCGGCCAGTTACATTTACTTGAATAAGATATATTTTCATGGCAGTCTTTTTAAAATACAAGTTTATTAAACAATTATTTTAATAATATTTTGGTCATGTGCTTAACTAGACTACATATAGAGTGATATACCTGTAACATAGAGTGATTGAATTTAGCGTTTCCTTTTATGGGCAATTTTAATTCTGTTTTAATATACACATTCAAATTTATTTAAGTACATATATTAAATCTTTGACTATTTTGTGTTTTTTTATATTGCATTTTTATTCATAGTATATTGAAGGTTTAAATTTTGCAGTAATTATACATTTTCTAGTACACAGTGATGAATACATTTATTTTCATGTGGAAAATATTGTAGTATTTTAATATTATAAAAATTAAATTAATTAAATCTAAAATTATATATAATAGAGGAGATTAATTTAAAAAATATTAAACTTATTAGAAATATTATTATTAATTTCCTTAATTCACAAGTTTTAAGATATTATTTGACATTTTAAACTGTACGGGAACAAATAAATATTATTAATATAATCAGTTACTAGACTTTGGATAGATTAAGAAATTAGAGATATTGAACGCTTTCTAAACTTTGGTCCATTATTTGTTTGGCTAAATAATTAGAATTTAATTAAAAAAAAAAAAAAGAAATATGATTTCCTAAGTTGTTAAATAAAAAACATAAATAAAGAATATTATTAATAAAACGAATAATTCACAATTCTCAATATTCGGCTTTTCGTACATAACGATACTAAAAGTAATGCATTAAAGTGTGATGCATGAAAAACAGTAATAATTTTTTCATATTTATATAAAAGCACCAAGTTGCTTTAAAAGATAGATACAAAAGAATAGAACAACGTAAAGAATTCTAAGATCAGTGACCTCTTTACAACTTTATCAAAATGTAAGTTTTTAATTACTATACTACGGCAAATTCAAGGACTGTTAAATTTACTGAAATTAATTAGCGCCTGGCTAATATTTGAATTCTTGTCTTATACTGGTATAATAACTTTTCTCTAAAAAGTTATTTGTTAATGAACTTTTTGCCTTGAATTTTGTTTGGTAATGTAATTGGTAGAATTATTTAATGCATTATTTTCCATAGAATTATCTGAAATGTCTTCACTACTACTGCTACGAATGTCACCTTCCATCTGAAAAAATTTTTAATTGGAAGTATTGCATAATCATATTGCATATAAAATTTATATATACAACGTTACTTACTTGACCGGCATAAAAAGCATTATAGGCAATTTTAAGTATTAAATACGTCCATATCATGTGAAGGATTAATAATAAGATTAATAAAAAGTTGAAAATATAATATGCTGGGAACATCGGTACTATTATAGGTGCTTTTATCGATGTGCTGTAATATATAATAAGACAGATTTAGAACAATAATGTGAATAATCTCTAGTTACATTAGTGAATAATGAATATTTACCTATAAATTATCCAAAATGGATAAACGCCGATGCGTGTGAAAATCCATAATATTGTGAAAATAACGAATATGCAATCACATAATTTCTGGTAATTAGCATACTTAGCTATTTTTGCAGCCTAAAATATAAATGTATACGTATTTAGTACATAATTACCTTTACAATTACATAAGTATATATTCAGATAAAAAATGAGTATGTTCTACTTACTTCTAGAAAAATATCTGCACTATCATGCACTAATAGAACTAGCGAACCAATTCTAGTTAGATTTCCGACCCATGAAAAACACATTAATATAATAGTAGCTTCATGATGAATAAACATTTGCCAGAAATCTTTTCTTTTCACGTCGAAAAACTGAGAGAAACTTAAAGACCAGTAAAATGCCATTGATATCATATAATACCACCATACATCATCAGAAACTGGATGATATGGATAATCATAGTAACAATAATTAATGTCCCACAACCATGGTTTATCCCATAAAATAATAAGGCCATAAATAAATGAATATGTATAATATAAACATCGCCAACTGTAACAAAATAATTTAAAATTTTATCAAGTAATAAAGAGTTTGAAAAATATTTTATTAATAAATATACTTTCTAATAGAAAGCTAACCTGTTTTCACAAAATTTTGTAAGAGTCGATGGCTTATCCTGAGCACGTCTTAATCGCAACCATCTTTCTACTTGTCGTTCAGACCAATCTAATTGCTTAGCCAGTGCCAGGATCTTAAAAGACATCCATATATTACAAAAAAAAAATCTATAACATTTAATTTTTCAGTTATTTTCATTAAGATTACATGAATTTGTTTCAAGGATCTAATATTAAACATATAATTTAAAGCTTAACAATCACAGTAATGTTATTTGATTTTATACAATTGTACAACAGATCATTTTTCTTACCAAATTAATTATACCAACTGAATAAATAAAAATAAGATACCTATTAATATATATTATTTCTGCGATTCTTACATGTGATAAATGTAGCCTCTAAACAACCATTTACTAAAATTTATTTCGCTACTTCAATATGTAGATAAAACAAATTAGAACAGTATATAAATTCTACTTTAATTTTTATTGATATAAAATAAACTCACCTGTTTATGTTTAATTTGTCGCTTAACATAGGCTTTTTCCAATAACTCGTTTGGTACTGCTTTCTTTGCTCTTGTATTTTTTATACCAAGAGATTTTCCAATAGGTCCAAAACAATACCTACAAAAAATTAATAAGGTATATTATTTAAAAGAAACCAATTATTTTTCTCAGTTAGAGAATTTAAAGAATATATACATGCACAATGTATTATTACAATATATTAATTATTATAAACGTACAATTCTATTTATTTTGGACAGATAGCAAAATATATAAAAAGTCATTAATTTTCTGTTTATCGAATGTGTTCGATAGTGTAAAATTTGGATATAAGAAAGAAAAGATATATAATATTAAATGAATAGAATAGTTACCTTTCTAAGGCATATCTAATTACTAAAAGAATTAATGCCATAGGTAAAGGATAAATTAAATGCTGATAATTAGCATATTTGTTTTCTGAATTTGGTTTAATATCGTCCCATGTTATGTTAGGCGGTAACCAAATATCAGTTGACCAAAAAGCCGATGACACGTTTTTTAATATATCCATCGTCGAAATGTCTGTAATTAATTATTCATATAATAACCTCATTAAGTATTTTTCGTAGAATTATTAACTTGACATGATAAAACGATTGATATACACTTAAATTACCTTAATAACTAAACTTGCCCTATCTTTCTGTTCTTACACACCACCGCTCGAAGACTGCGCCCGTACCCGTACGTTTAACGCACCGCGTTCAATTTTTCTCGTAATTGTTTCCTCGGAGTGAAAAAATACTTATCTTTTTTTTTTTATGTGCTTGGTTGAAATTCACTGTTCAATGTACAATTAATACGTACTTTAGTTACACAATTATCATTCATAAATGTATATTAAGCGCGAAGTGTAATCATTTTGATAACGAACTTATCATGGATAACCTCGACTATAAATTTCGATTAAATTTTATAATTATAATTTAAGTTATTACTTTGAATGTACTATTTTAATAAAGTAATGTAATATCAAAAATCATCATAAACAGTATCGAATAACTATAATTGAAACATATGCTTGTAGATTCAAATTCAAATAATTTTAAAATTAATATAACTATTGAGATATATATATAATGTATATAATTGTGACCTTTTTATGATATAAATATAATTAATCTAATAATTATATTGAGGTATATTTAAGGTCTTTATACTAAATTAAAGTGAAATATTAAACATGATGCACATACACACATACATAAATACATACAAAATGCCAATCATAATATTATAGTTCAATTATTATATTTCTTTTATTATATATTAAAGACAGTTGTTTAGGCACTGCCTTTTATTGGTAATAAATATTATTATGAACACTTATGATTAATAGGATATTGTTTTAACAAGTTTTTAATTACTCGTTGATATATTGCAGCATTTTTTCTTTCTTGAACTCTCAAAAATTCTCGTTTTGCCATATTAATTCTTTTTGTTTTTCGTTTAATACCTGGTGTATGGACTAAAAAGGCACCATCAAGTATAACTAATCGATAGTTTAGAAGACACATCTCAAACATCTAAAAAAGACAGAAATAAATTTTAATATAAATTATAATATATTGTAAAGTTTCACCGTCTTTATTTGAAACAGATTATACATTTAAATTCGTATTATACAAATGAATTTGAAACTGGACTTATAGAAATTTATATTACACCTGAGTCATTTTATCTTGTCTGCCTTCCCAAGACATTTCTTCCATGTAAAGTGGATCATTACGTGTTCCAATAAAAACAGGTTCCCATCTATTATGCGGATATTCTCTTTTTGTAACGATAAGTGGTCTAACTTTGCCTGGGTCAGGTCTGAGTAACCACCTGGTAAGACCAGGAAACTTTTGGCAATGTGAACAAAGAAACCTATAAAAGGATGAGCAATTGTATTTTATCTAACGATGATGATATTAGTTATCAATAATAACATTGTCTATTTGGTTTCAATATTATTCTTTACATAAATTCATGCGAATTCACAAACCTATGAAAATATACAGCTCTACCAGCTTCTATTGCTAAAAGCAATTCCTTTTTTGTTGAAGGTGGCTTCTGATTAGATTCTATCTCAAAAACAGGTACTACAAAAACGATGCCAGTTTTTGGTACTCTTCTACGGACGAGTTTCATGAAACCAGAAGCTAATTTCTCACTGGGAAGCAATTCAATATCTGATACTAGAACACGAGTAGTATTTGCTTGCATTCTAGCCACATTTCTGGCCACATTAATGGGATAGGTCATGCGTTTTTGGTTTCTTTCCGTTTCTCTTTCGCCTTTTTGGAGATCAGACGCGGTACAATCACCGTGATTTCGAGTAGTTTCTCCCAAAAGAGGTGGACTGTCCGGCGGAAATACCAAATGAATGGAGACCTACGGTATTAACGAATATTAGACAAAATAAATATACTTGTAAACTGAAGATCTTTTATGAATTACAATTTATAAACACGTTCATTGTGAACTGAGAGCCATGGACAATAAGTAATATAAATAATTAATAATAATAATATAAATAATCATTAAAATGAGTGTAACATTTTATAAATCTAATCATGGTTCTAGCGACTCGTTTTAAGGGCGGGTGCATGAGGAGACCTTGTACATTTCGGGTTCGCATCGACAGGCCCGATCTAGGAGAGTAATGGCGATACCAGCGTCGAGACCAGGTGTGAAAATTGCCAAACTTAATGGTCCCTCCCATCTCCTGGCCAACTCGACGATTCCATAAACCTGATCAGCGGTGGCGTGAGTACAAAGGGTCACCTCGGGCAATTTCTTTCTCTCCTCGGTGCCGCGTAATACAAATGGTAGGATTCTGTAGGGGCTCTTCTCACCGATTTCCGGCCTCCAGATGACTGAGGATCCCGGATACGAAAGAACACGTGGTAGACCGTGGTACCATCTACAATAACTATCGTTCCTAGGTCGTTGACTCGCCATATATGTCCCTGCTACGAACGTCGGTCTTCCATACCGTGTATCGCGTTCAGAATTCGGATGACTGTTCGATATTAAAATTTCGCCGTTACCGATCATCAAAATAGGTAAGTAAAATATGCGATTGACCAATAGACGGCCAACGAAAATCAGAAGGAAGGTTAGGCTCGACCAGATCAGCAACTTTCGACCAGAACAACGCATCCTTCTCTCGTCTATACAAGGTACCTTTCTTCAATCCGCACCGATGATCGTAGTCGAGAAAACGCTTTTCCATATTACAAACAAGCTCGATTCATTGAACTTAGGTTTCTGCGGTGTCGTTACAGCCGGAAGAGAGAAACCCTCCAGGTGCGGATCGATGTGGCGCAGGCGTGTTAAACTTTCATCTAATTTTATACAAGTTATAAGTTGAACTCTATAAAAAAGAAGAGAAAAAAGAAAGTGTTAGATCAATGAAATAAATGAAAGAAAAATATATACATATATTATAATCAATCAAATTGATGTTTTTTATTTCTTTGAAAGAGCTTTTTTCAGCTTTTTTTATTAAAAATATACTTTGAGTTTTGCATCTCTGCAGCATCTGGCCTTTCGAGAGTTGATGCACGTTTCATCTCATTTTCATCAATATTTATACCTAACATCTATGTGGGATCAATAACAGTATGTTTGATCGAAGAAAGTAAGAGTCTCGATTCACAATGGAATACATTTAAAATGTACGCGATTGATCGGAAGGTTGCGTTCTAATTTTACTACACCCGATGGGAAATAGATTACTCTGCAACACCTTTCGTTGTAACATGCAACCAGTCAATCTCCATTTCTACTGGGGTCAGTAGTTCCTAAATTATACGAACAGTTGCAGTATACACCTGGCCGGTCCTATCGCGTATTCTGTTTCTTCTTTTCATTTTTATGAATCATGTTAATCGTCACCTGCGAAATCGAACAAAGTAATCGTTATTTGTTGAATAATTATAGCTGCATAAATTATATATATAAGAAAAAAAATGTTCGTTCAAAGATCTATATCGTATGTATATAATTAATCTTTCGTTATTAATAGATACTAGACTATTTCTCAATTGAAAATATTTTTTCTTCGCGCGTGTGCGAGACCGTGCGTATAAATGTTAATTATTAATAATTCACGCTCTCAACTGTGAAGGTGTTCAACAATCACAAGAATCATTTTGTTAGTTTCACCTTGCCGAGTTATGATTCGAGCAATAAAGTAGCCTTTACTCGACCTGTATTCAAAGTTCTTGAACTTGTTTTAATGGAGATGCGTTAAACATGAGGTAGAAGGTAAATTAGCATATTGCATTATTTATAATCCAACACGATCTCTAATTACTTTAACCCTTAATCCGAGATACTATAGAGGAAGAAATAAAATGAATATTTTATAAGATTATCACCTTCTCTAACATTTCCATTGATTCTACCTGTACCTCTACACGAAGGAGATGATTATAGCTGCTTTCATTATCCTTGAACTTCGAATGAAAGTGAATAGATTTAAATGGAAAATCACCGAACATCGTCTCGTAGCGGCTTATAGACAAAACACCCTTGACCTCCGTCGATGGATATACCCTTTTTCCAGCGCCACCGACTCTCGAGGGTGCATCGACGCCTGTTAGTAATGTGGTAAACGTTGGGAAAGTTGCCGTACGTTACCATCGTCCGCGATTGCATGTGTTAACAGAGAAAATGTTGGCCCGAAAACGCGGAAAACCGTTGGGATTAGTCGAATACAATGCTCTGCTCGTAGGAACTTGGTATATCCGAAATCGAAGAACGACGACCAGCATCGAGTTACGGAATTCCGTATAACGATGACGGAGCAACAACCAAACAAGGAAGACGATGAGGATGTGGTTTGCGGAATCGGTATGAGCCTATGAATTATTTTATACAGATACATCTTTTAGGCAGGTTTCAAAAAATTTGATAAAATTTGTTTTTACGAATTTTAGTTCTCAATGGATTCTCTTTGTATTAATAAGCATGTATTGATTGAAATCAATCGTTTATCACTCATGAATCACTTTTTTATCCACACCTGTATTTATAAGCTCCGTGGTTTTTAATTAATTTCACTTCTATCCATCTGATAATCCTAAATTTATCAAATTTAAACAAGCATTTCAAGAATGTATACACTTGAAGAGATGTTATCACTATTATATTTGGTACAGTCTGTGATAGGATTATAATAGTTTGATTTATTGTTGTCAGATACATCTACGACAATATCAGAAGAGACTTTTCCACGATACAAAACGCCGGTGCATTTAGAAAAATCCGTCAAATCGGTTGCCATTCAAACGATAATTGGCCAACCATTGCGACTAAGAGTTTTGCCATCCGTTAAAGACATTGTTCATGAAAACGAAACGAATTCAGCAGATGTAAAAGGATTTTCTAAAATATGGAAATATATTAGATTCTTAGGAAGATTATCCCTTTCTTTGTTCGGTAAAATAACATCTTATTTCTATCACCAGCGAAAAGATTAAATTAATCTTTCTAAATTATTTAGAAAGAAAATTGTTTAGAAATTATTTAATCTTTCTAAATTACTTAGAAAGAAAATTATTTAGAAATTATTTAATCTTTCTAAATTGTTTAGAAAAAAATTGTTTAGAAATTATTTAATCTTTCTAAATAATTTAGAAAGAAAATTGTATAGAAATTATTTAATCTTTCTAAATTACTTAGAAAGAAAATTATTTAGAAATTATTTAATCTTTCTAAATCAATCTTTTTAATCTTACTAAATTAATCATTAATTCATGAAATATTTTTTAAATATAATATACATATTGCAGGATTGTTCTGGTTTCTCATCACCTGGGCAATCGTAGGTGCCATTGTTTTCTGCGCCATCGAAGGGCCAAGGGAACGTGAACAAGTAACAATACTGAAAGATTTGCAAAATGATTTATCAGTTAGCTTAGCAACGGAGTTAAGACAATTGCGTACAGAAAAAGAGGAAGATCTAGAACCACTTTGGAGTGTCAAAGTAGAAAAATATGTGGCGAAACACGAAGAGCTTTTGCTGAGGGCAGTTAGTTCTGGATATGGTGAAAGTGGCAATAGTGGAGAACTTTGGACGCTTCCTGGTTGTATCCTATTTTCTCTTTCACTTCTCACTACTCTTGGTAATTCAGATCTCCGTATTTTCTTATTATTCGTTAACCCTTTCGCTGCCACGGTGGTCCCATGGAACCGGGGCTTGTCTTTTCATTTGGGCCATGGTGGTCACCAGTGACCACCAAGAAAAATGTGCTATTGGCAAGATTGTACCGTTATTTTAATATATTTCGCAATTCTTTGCCATTATAAAATTTTTAATATGAAATTTCTGGCCCACTGGTGCAAGTTCAAAAATTTCCGTGGCAGCGAAAGGGTTAAACTATTTATTAGTTTTACATACATATATTATAATTTCATTTACTTCATAGGTTTCGGTGCTCCCGTTCCACGTACAACAATCGGTCGTACGGTAACCGTTATTTTTGCAGCAATTGGTATACCTGCACATTTCCTTTTGATCATGAACGTCGGCCTTCTGTTAGCTATTCGATTACAGAGATACGCCATATCAAGGAAATTTGATGAATATGATCAAAAGGATCCGAAATATTTAGCACCGATACCCAAATGGGTTAAAATAGTACCTTTCGTTTTTGGAGGTAATTATAAATTCATATCAGATATTTCAATATTATTAGATTAGAATAGATTTTCTTTTCTGTGAAATTAATTCATCTCAAGTCACTGAAAAGCTTTCTTGAAATACGCTGTTGGTATAAGTTGAGAAATTAGAAACCATTCTCCATTCGTATTTAGCAGACCTGCTTATTTCCATAGAAAAATTTAATATATCATTCAGATAACAATTGCAAATGTTAGGCTATCTTTGTACCGCAAAAATCTGCATCAAACAGAGCAACTCGACTCAGGTACAGTTGCTTGTAAGGTTGACTTTCTATCACTGCCTAGGGGAAAACGATGGGTATACTTCCGAAAGGCCCTCCCCACCCTAGGACAACCAAACTTCGGATTTATAGTAATTGAGGGACGAGAAATCGAATGAGACCATTTTCAGAACTGGCAAATAAACAGTTCTCGAGATATATAGGGTATTCTAAAAGTGTGGGACCCCCCTATTATCTCGATAAGAACGCATTTCCACGGAAAATGACTAAAACAAAAGTTGTAGGGGTCGTAAAGTATTATCTTGTAGTGACCTGGAACTTAACCTTGCAGGTTAGGGTTAGGGTTAAGGTTAGGGTTAGGTTAGGTTTAGGTTAGGCGTAAGGCGCCTGGTAGCTGTAGTCACTAACCCACTCAGGGTAGCTTTTTCGTCCCTAATTCAACATTCCTTACGCCGACAACGGGTCAGGTGTTGGGTTTTCCTTACCCGAAAACGATAATTGGCACGCCTGTAAAGATAATACTTTACGATCCCTACAACTTTTGTTTTGGTCATTTTCCGTGGAAATGCGTTCTTATCGAGATAATAGGGGGGTCCCACATTTTTAGAATACCCTGTATACCTCGAGAACGGTTTATTTGCCAGTTCTGAAAATGGTCTCATTCGATTTCTCGTCCCTCAATTACTATAAATCCGAAGTTTGGTTGTTCTGGAAGGGGGGCCTTTCGGAAGTTTCCCCAAAACGATCATCCATTATTCGCTTGATTCACTTGTGCCTCGGTTTCGGCATAATTTCGCTTGTATCGGAAGTTTAGATACTTCTCTTTCCTATTGCATAGATATGAAAGTGACAGGGCCGGCCCTGAGCCTAGGCAGACTAGGCGGCCGCCTAGGGCCCCCCAAGGTCCAGGGGCCCCATAAGACGAATTTGCGTCTAAGAACGAAAGAAGAGTAATTAATCAATGTAAATGCAAATCTAAATTAGTTATAGAAGCTTTAATGTTAATTTTATAAATTTTATTCGAGCTACTTTTTTTTATGCCATATATATGAAGGGGCCCTTTTTCGGAACTCGCCTCGGACCCCCGAAATCTCAGGGCCGGCCCTGCAAAGCGAATCCTACATCATATAACGGGTAGAATTCACTCGCTGGCTACCATGACGACCGTGACGCAACGAAAGCGTGACGTTAACGCTCCGTAGACGATCATCAACCATTCCTTTATATTGCCTTCTGTAACGGAAGTATGTAGCAAGCTATACAACGCGATTATGACAGCAAATATCAAAGTTCGGAATAATTCCTCCGTACATCTTTGGAAAAGTAATGAGAGCTCTTTAAAAAACCCGTAGAGCTACCACAGAATTCCGACAGGCGGCCGGATCCGACCGTCGGAACGTGTGTAACCGCCTTAACGGCTATCCTTACCGACCGTGTCAGACGCGTAGCGTTGCATGCACGACAGAAGTATAATTCATTAAACATCGCGAATAAGCAACTTATTTAATCGGATTATAATATGTATATATATATATATATATATATGTAAAGTATAGTTATTCTTCTTACGTGGCTGTTTTTTAAGAAATAGTACTTATCGACAATTGCCAACAAGCTTGACGTACGCAGAATACAATCCATGAGGGGAGACGGGTGAGAGGGAAGCCCGAAAGGAACTTGGCCATTTCTGGTTTACATTTACAGACATTGAACGTGTCAGACGCGTAGCGTAGCAGACATGACATTTATTCCTCGCAACGTTATCTAATAAGAGAGCTCCATATTTAACGTAACGTAGCTGCACAGACGACGACGACGACAACAGACACGCCCCGTACCAATACGACAATATTCTTACGTAAAATATTTTGTCTGTGCTGGTACGTGTCTGTGCTTGTTTGTTCCCGTTTGCACGGTCAGTGTGAATACTGATTTTAGATCGTACAGACACGGGTTCTTGAAATAATCGTGCGGCAAAAGTTTTTATAGAAACAATGGATAATTTAAAATTAATTGATTTAGTTAGAGAATATAAGTTTCTCTATGATCCAAGTAATAAGTGGTACAGTGACAATCAAAAGAAGGATATAGCGTGGAAGGAAATTTCAAAGCATCTCAGAGTGCAAGGTAAGTACTTTTTTTTTGTTTTTAATAGATTTAATTATGTATGTAATTATATTTTTGTTAATGTATTGAAAAACATTGCAAACTTATTTTCGTTTCCTTGTTTTGATATATTTCTTATACTGCATGGCAAGATAATGTTGTTTTCATCTAAGAAATAAATCCCGCTGAATGTGATAAACTTATATACGTGAAATAAACGTTGTCATTACACGGTTCGGGATTTTAAGACTGGATAGTACTCGCTAATGCAGGGCCAGCCCTGGACCTTGGGGGGCCCAGGGCCCCCGTAAGACGATTTGCATCTAAGAATGCAAGAAGAGTAATCTTTACTTGAATATTAATCGATGTAAATGCAAATCTAAATTAGTTATACAAGCTTTAATGTTTATTTTATAAATTTTATTTGAGGTACTTTTTTTTATGTACATATGTACAATATCAATCATAGAGTCCGTTCGTCTAGTGTATTTTGTAATTTCAAATAAATTATTGAAATTCTAAATTAATAAAATTTTAAATTATTGAATATTTTAAAGTTCTTATCAGATGATTATGTTAATTAATTATTTTAACGCTTTTATTAAATAATTAGATTTATATTTGCTGCGGTTAAACTTGGACTCCAAAGTCAGTGCTTTTTCACTAGACGAACGGACACTATGGTTGATATTGTAATATATCTGAAGGGGCCCTTTTTTGGAACTCGCCTCGGACCCCCAAAATCTCAGAGCCGGCCCTGCGCTAATGAATAATTAAACTAGGCTCTTCCTGGTTTTCCCTAGATTGTCTCTGATTCTTTTTGGTGCTCCCTAGATTGTCCCTAGTTCTTGGTTCTCCCAAAAGAAACCTACGTTATAGCCGAATATCCACGCTATAGAACCTACGTTAGTTAAAAATAAGAGTACTAATACTTATTACTTTTTGTTTCAGAACAAGACTGCAGAAAAACTTGGGCCTTATTGCGAGACTCCTTCAGGCGTGCCATAAAGAAACAGAAAAAGAATAGCCAAGCGAACGTAACTTGCAAAAAATGGAGGTATCAAGACGAGATGTCGTTTCTAATACCGTTTATGAAGGAAAGATCTACTCTTTGCATACTGACACCTCAAACCGACGAGCACGATGATTATGAAGTTAATTTGGATAGTGAAAGTTCTATCCCATCTCTAGATTATACATCCGATAGAGTGTCAACAGACAACAACCCATTCAATCTGAGTACAGCAACGGCCGTGGTGCGTTCAACTAAATGCCAACGAAATAATTCATTTAAGAATCTCTCGAGCGAAGAAACGTTAATGAAATACGTATTAGATAATAAAAGGAACTGCGACGACATTGAACAGTTCTTTGCCAGTATGGCCACGACAGTGAAATCGTTTCCTCCGCGAGAGAGAGCTGTAGCAAAAGCTAAGGTGTTTGAACTTATTTCGAAAATGGAAATAGATATTCTAAGCAATCCATCTACTTCTGATAACAAACCAACGATGCCCTTCTAGTCAAATGACACTTATGAAAGGAGTTCTTGCACTACTTCCTCTTTTAACTCGTTCACTGCGGACGTTACAGGTCTGCATAGGCTGTGATTTTGGAAATTATAATAAGAAATAATGTTATTTTTATATGGATATATATATATATATATATATAAACATATCACTATTTATAGATGATTGATAAAAAAATATTGAAATTTTTAAGTTTACATTATTAATATTATTTTTACTTATTTGAATGTCTTTAAGTCTGCAGCGAACGTGTTAAGTCACCGACGTGTGATTTTTTAAATATAATATAATAGAATATTTTTCTTTATAAGATATAAAAATAAATCTGTTCTACGTTGAACAAACGGCTAATTGTTCTTTCTATGATAATACTTGGTTAAAGAATGTTTCCAAGTAATTCTTCATCACTCACCTTATACTTCTATATTCTTTATCTACGAAGAGTGGAGGTTCTATGTTAGGCTTTCCTTGACACTCCTTTGGAGTTCTTTCAGGTTTCCTCAAGATCCAAAACAAACCGGAAGGCTTCCGTTACACCCAACTGCTTCGTTAACAATGTCGTGTCTGGTACGTTCAATGTCGGTAAAATATGTAGCGGGTAAGGCCCCTAAAATAGGCCACCAGAACAGCTTGGCTGTTATCGGTGCTCATCCCCTATAAACGGTTTAAATGTTAAAATTTAATTCTAGAGACATAGTACAAATGAAAACTAGTTTTATTATTTTTAATTATAGCCAGTTACTATCTGATGGGAATTGTGTGCTTCGGACTAGCCAGATCCAGACCGATTGCAGCAAGCGTTCTGTTCCCTTTAGATTTTACTGCTGCCGGTGGTCTATCAACTATCGTTGGCCATGTACGAGTATTGTATGGTCTTTATCTCGAAGGTGCAGTCACTATTGCAGCTTTTGCAGTTGCCGTATTGCGTGTATCAGCTACACAGAACTTGACCAATATCGGTCTCAAATACGGTTTACTAATAGAAGCTTAATGACTTTTAACAAAATATTTTAATTACAGTTTGTTATTGTTCGTATCTTTATTCGTGGTTGTTATACGAAAAGTATGGCATAAACTTATTGCATACTTTAATATAGTATGAAGTAAGCATACCTAAGATGCATAGCGATTCAGTGATACTTCTACGGAGAGGGATGGAAGCCTGTGGTAAGGGATGCCCATGGAGAGGATCAAGAGCCCTTGTATGTAACACAAATAATAAAAAAATTAGTAAATTGAATTAATATCACATTGAAATATATACACATATTAATTAATTATAATGCATTCCAATGATTGTTATAATTATATATGTACTGTTACATTGTTAGACAATTAATTATTTATTACCATCTTTATAAGAAGTAATATGTACATTTAGTATAAATAAATTTAATTGTCATATAAGTCTGGTACGCAACTAAATTACATTTGGAATCATTGTGTTGTTTTATAAAAGATATAAAAAACAAAACATTAAATGCAAGAGAAAGTATAAATATACTATGTATTAAACGAGAAATAAGGTGCAAAAGAGCACAATATTTTTATCACACAAGTTGTTTATGTAAAATTTTGTACAAATTACTAAAATTAATTATTATTTCGGATAGCATGGATTAAAGGACGTAATGATAAAACAATGATTAGAAACGTAATGATTTGCGTAATTTATTACACGAATAATATATATATATGTATATCATTAACGTGGAACTGTAACTATCAATCTTTGCTGCATACCTTGTTTGGTTGTATCAAAAAAAAAATTTCTGTATATATGAGATAAGCAATGATCCCAATCTATGTTTTCAATAATGACAAGAAACTGCAGTCAATCTTATTTAAATGTAAATAACATTTGTAATGTCAATATATTAAATCTTGTTGTACACCAATTATTTGCTTTTACTTTGACTTTACTTCTTTTATAGATGTTACAAAGGACTAATTCTAATGAGAAACCTCTAACGATTAAACTAAAACTTTAAGACACTTCTCGTCTTCGATGTGTGTCATCGTCTTCATCACTCCTACGAGTGTTCTTTATTCTGGTCTTATTAAGGGGTTGATCTTCTGGACCTTGAGGTTCAGAAGTTGAACACTGGCTATTGCAAACATTTTTGTCTCCCAATGCTATTCGTATAGATTCCACCAAGTGCAAAGGACCGGTATAACTTTGCTTCGAACCTATAAATGCAAAGTATAGAAATTTTTTACCTAATATATTTTTATTCTCATTTTAACGTATCAAATTCGTTACTTTCTTTTAGAAGTAAATTATAATTACTATTGTACAATTTTATATCCCCGCTAAAGATTCACTCACCTACTTTTAATTTATCCAAATATAGCTTTCTTGATTTTTTTAAGTAGACCGTCATTTTCAACATTTCCTTCATTTTGTGGGTATTGTCTCGCTTGAGTTTTTACCTTCGGACCTGCCGCGCCTAAAAAAGTATATATAATCTAATGATAAAAGAATGTAATACAACAGTATGCAAAAACAAACACTCTATTTAACCTACTACTTTAGTTATAATGAACGCTAATGAAACGCATACATAAATTTTTACATCATTTATTTAATTAGCAAGGTCAGGTACACGTAAGAAAACTCAAGCGACACACAAATTTTACGTGATTCGATGGAGAACGAAAATCATTTAAAAAATGTTACGTAAAATATTCAGAACTTTGAAAAAATATTAAAACATAACTTACATATAAAAAAAGGCAACGTGAAAATTCACACATTTTAGTTCTCCCATAATTAACAGAATCTTCATTATCATGTTTCATCATATTTATTCTTACCATCTGTTTTGAACGTTATGCCATGTATACTTCCAGGGGTGTCTTCTTCAAGTTCAGCGTAAGCTTGGAGCAATGCTAACTGTTTATCATTTAATTTTCCAGGTACAGCAATTTTAATGTTCACGTAATGATCTCCGTATCCTGTGCCATCCACTTTTTTTATTCCTTTACCACTAAGTCGAATTTTAGTATGGGACGAAGTACCGGGTCGAATTTGTATTGTGTGATCCTCGTAAACACCTTCTATTCTGATTGTACCACCAAGTATCGCTTGTGATATCGAAATTTGAGCATCTGTGTGTATATCTGGACCATCTCTTCGAAAGTATTTTGACTTTTCCACCCGGAATGTTATAAATACTTCTTTGTTACCCACAGCCATTCGAATTGTTTGACCATCTTCAACACCAGCTGGAACTGGGACTGTCACTTTTTTGCGTTGTATCTATTATTGATAAATTTTGTATATAGTAAAGCTATTTAGATATTTAGATATCCATTCGACATATTGATATATAAAATATATGTATACCGATTGTCCCTTTCCTTCGCATTCGGTACATGGGAATTTAATAAACATTCTGGTACCATGACAGTAACGGCACGTAGAACGCATCACAAAGGGACCAGTACTAATCGTTTCCATTCCAGTTCCATTACAATATTGGCATCTAACTGCTTTCGTTCCCGGCTCGCATCTCGACCCTAAACATTTTGGGCAAGTGTCTAATACGTTTAACTGGACATCTTTATTCACTCCTCTGGCAGCTTGAGAAAATGTTAAATTCATAACAACCTTAAAAAGGAAAGGATTAAGTTATTGCTAAATGATATACAAGCAATTAATGTATATTTAATAAAATATATACACACCTCTTGCGCTGCACCAAAACCAAGCTTTGATTCAGCAAAGTCTTCAAAATCACCGAAAGTACCGCTTTGAAAGGCAGCATCTCCAAATATTTTTCTAAATAAGTCCTCCGGATTTACCGATGATCTGAAATGCCAACTTTGGCTAAAGTCTTTGGCACGACCACCACCTCCCCCACCTCCGCCTTGTCCCATTCCCATTTGTTCCGATGTTGATCCCCATGTATCATATTCTTTCCTTTTAGTGTCATCGCTTAGTACTTCGTAAGCTTCAGAAACTTCTTGAAACTTTTTACTAGCATCTGGATCTCCTTTATTTGTATCAGGGTGATACTTTTTAGCCAACTGATAATAAGCCTTTTTAATATCCTTTGCTGAAGCATTCTTGGATACACCCAATATTTCATAATAATTACGTTTTAAGAGTTTGCTAGTTACGTGTATGCCTCTTTGAGGTTGAGTTAAATTTCCTATTATACCTGCAATTATATTTATAATATTTCAAGTTAAAAACACATTTTCATAAGGAATCAAGAAAAATATAGTATTATATACTATAGAAAGTATTATTATATAGAAACAAAGTTTAAGTAGACCCAATCTATCTTAAAACACGGTATAAACAATAGTTGCCGATGAGGCGAAGAATGAACATGTGTCTTAAAGTGTCAGGTTATAACCCATTTTATAGTTCATTTAATGAAGTTTCAAGAAACAACTAATAAGACGCTTTACGCTAATAATGGGCTTTACGATTCGAAATAAGACATATTTATAGGACATTAAAAATACTTATTATGTGTACAAAAACAGAGTAATAGTGAAATTGTTGAAAAAAGCATGATGTAATCTGTGCTTTTCGTAAGCAGAAGTATACATTACATTTTTCTATTTTCCTTGAGTCCCACTTGCCGACACTCCATACTACTGTTGTAATAGATCGGTGACATGTTCGACATCTTTGTATAATATCACACGAGAATTTATTTAAATTATTATTGTTGATTAAATTAATAGTCTTTGGTCGAAAAACTATTGCCAGTCCTTTGCCGGTCGCCATGTTGCACAAGAGACGCATGGCCGTGTCACGTGACATATGGAGAATATAACAACGTGCTTTCTAGAAACTATTTGCAAAGATATAAGTTTATATTATGTTTTTAAAATTGGCCTAAATATATAGAATTTTATGTTATCTATTTAACCTACCTTAAATGGACATGTAATTTACAATACATACATATGCACGTGCGCGTATAGGAGGCATTTTTATAGAAAGTTCATTATTAACTATCAGGCAGTGACTACAAATTTAACAAGACTGGACATGTCTTTGGTATCAAGAGGTCTTGAATTTTTGCCTTGAAAACGAGTGCCTTCTGCTCTATCCTAGTATAAAAATGTGAAACACTTCGTGAAACACTACCAGTCTAACACGTGTTAACGGTAACAACAGATTGTTTCGATATAAACGATTATACCCTACCATTGTCAGTCAGTGGTTCGATAAATTAAACATAAAACTTTGTTTGAATTTGATTTTGAATGTAACAATATTATACTGTAAATACATATATATATCTATAATTCAGTGATTAATTTTCCTTCAAAGTTTTAATTCTTAGAAACATGATATTAAACCAGTTCAATTTTTTATACGGTTCTATTACGCGGGCAAGGAAATTTTTAAAAAATTTGGAACAGCGCCATCTAGTTAATGAGATCCGAACTAACTAGTTCTAGAGAAAATTCACTGCAAAAGGACGCTGTCGATAAAATTTTGTATCAAAAATAAAATTTTCGTAATTCGTCCGCAATGTGTTAATAACGCAACAGATTCATATTCTTATATATATATGTATATAATTCGTTTTAAAAATAAAATTTAAATGGTATAAATAATGAGCTGCGAAGAAAAATAGTAAACAAAAATAATACAAGGAATATATGTATTGTTATACGAGTAAATAAATAAAAATAATAAGTTTGCTTCTTACTTACAAACAAAGTCTTTTAATTGCAACGAGTTTACGAAACGTTTAAAGCTGGTATTACTTTCAACATTTCTTACTATGTTTATTTTGCCATTGTGATTGTACTATAATACGTGGTACATACACATATGAAAAAATAATTGTACAACATCGAACATGTAGTAAACGTAGGTTTCTCCGGGTTCGAGGTCCACAAGATACCAACCTCTCCTCCGGCGATCCGAGGGGAATGACGATGCAGTGGATACATTTAAGGGTTAGTGCCCCCCACCCCGCTTAGGTACAAACGTTCACGCGGGAAAATTTGAGTATTGTTCATATACTCAATTTTATATTCAATAATTCAAAATTATATTCTCCTATTTTTCTCAATGACTTTTAAGATTAATATCGTCGAAATTATGATTTTGAGAATTTTTGTTTCCCCTGTAACGTCAGTTACCCTAAGAAAGCCTATTTTGTTCGATGCTGTACCGCTTTTCGTATATAAAAGAAAAAAGAAAAAATTAAAATTATCGCGTAATACCGGCATTTAAAGAATATTTCTAAAATTTATAAACGTAACTTTTATATTATGTACTGTACGATTTTAACATATCATACAAATACAAGATGGGCTGTCAGTTATTAATACCGTTTCGTTAACTTCTAGCCCATTCCGTACAACTTCACTACTTATTATTGTTTTTGTTTTTAAAAAGTTGTAGTTATATATTTTTAGTAGTATGTAATCAATGTGAAAACGTGAACAATATTACCGTTTGTATTACAATAGGTGCAAGTGTATGTTACGAAATAATTTAAAATGAAAAAAATATTCGCAATAACTCACGCTATATACATAAACATAAGGAAAAGAAAAGAAATACATAAATCATGGAAAATGAAACTATCACCTTATAAAACTAATATGAACATCGAGCACATCTAACATAAGACAGTATGTTAAAAGTAATGTAATTTAATTATATTAACAGTAAGTATATTTATATCATAAGATATGATGTATTTGAAATTCTGAGCTTATTAAACAAAACATTTTTCAAATAATTCGAAAAAGTATAGTAATCATCCTAACTAAGAATTTATCAGCTTTTTGCTTTTTACATAAATTTCGTTTCATAAAAGATGTATAACATTCTTCGTTATTTTTTTTCTTTAATGAAACTTAAAATGTCGAAAGATCTTTAATAAAGATTGTCTTTTAGAAAATGTCTAAGAATCAAAATGAAAATAAAACAGTTATAAGAATGTTTAAAAACGATTGTTCAATCATACACATAATCTTTTGGTAAAATTATTATTATTATAAAATTTTTTATTTCAAGTAGTATACTATTTTAATCTAACAAATTTCAGCTAGGTTTGGAACTGTTCAGATGATACAAATACTTTTTTTTTCTTCAGCATTTAGTACATAATACAATTTGTAATTCTGAATAAAAATAATGTTTAAATAAGCTTAATGTTATATTTCATAGAACAGAATATATTTTTCTCATGCGAATATTCCTTTCTTACAATATTTCTCGCTATTAAATAATGTTTCATATGCACAAATCTACACGATGCCATTTTGATTGGCCATTATTAACTGCACTGGCAAATATTTCATTATTAAGTGATCTGTTATCGTTTATTTTAAACCGAGCGAAAAAAGTTCATTGCGTTTCGTTTGTCGCAAATCTTTGTATTGTTAACTGTTAATTACTAATCAAACTAAATCAAAGATTCACGTCATAACAAGGACATAATACATGTACACCGAGGTTCTTGTCGGCTTTTATCCTTCATCGATTTTGTCGTATGTCGTATAAATAAAATTCATCGAGATACAGAAAGTGCTATTACATATTAATTTTGCTAGCAATATATTACTATGATTAGACTTCTTTTATGGTACACATGAAAAAAAAAAAATGCGCATACCATTATGGTACTGCACACTTTTTTTCTTTTTTTTTTGAAATAACAATACAATGCTTTTTTTCTTTCGCTCTACAATACATATATAATAGAAGATTATCGTCCTTCTTTTTCACTGTTGAAATAATTGTTAAATAGCTTAATTTACATGTACAGAAAGTCTTTTTCCTTCAGTATTGATAATCTTCTTTCTCTTCTAATATAATTAGAAAAATGATTGCAAAGTAAAACTTTAATTCGCGCAGAGTGTCAAGTTATAAATAATTTATATTTACACTTTCGCTTTGTTCTTTCAAACATTCATATACATGTGTGTATAGCGCGTATACACATAAGTATATACATATACACGCATACAATCGTTCATACACAAATGCATATATGTCTGCATACACACGTTCATACACGCGCAAACATACACATTAGAGAAATACTCAGGCACACTTATATATGTACATATGTATATAATTTAAACAATATTCGTACGATTCTTTGAATAGATTAACGTATTCATTTATATACAATGCACAGCAATAATACGCTGATCCGTTTAATTTCTGATCACAAATTTGTACAAATTTTGTTTGTACATATCATATTGGTCACCTATTCTATAAATATTTATTCATCTTTTTTCATCCTTAGCAATACATGAGACGCCCTGGGTTTCATTTTCTTTTATAGCAAAATAATCTTTGCGATTCAATATTAGAAAGTGCTTTTAGACGATAAATACTAACTTCGTAGTTTAAATTTTCTTGTTAAGACTAATTACGTGTACAATTGCATGAAAACGATAGCAAATTTTGTCAATTACTAACAATTCTAACTGGTCTTTGGATAAAACACGACAATTAGTTCTATTCTGGTAATGTCTGACACATTGTATTCTTTTTTATAATTTAATTTATTGATACTAGGGATGTGCGGGTATCCGATATTACGGACTCGGGCGGGCTCGGCAAAAATCGGGCGTCCGATACATGCGTGCAGTCGGGTAGCCTGACTATTTCGGGTTCGGTCGGGTACAGTCGGGCTGAATCGGACGAGCTCCCGCGGGCCACGGCCCGCGATCCAACTTTCATGTATTTGTTAACACTTGCAGTAAGTATGTGCAAAATCTGTTTTATATGGAATTTTGAAATAAGATCATTTGGGAGCTCGTCCGAATCTGCCCGACTGTACCCGACCGAACCCGAAATAATCGAGTTACCCGACCGCACGCATGTATCGGACGCCCGACCGAGCCCGCCCGATGTTTTCCGATCCGACCCGACTAGTCGGGCCGCACATCCTTAATTGATACGCGTCTCATATTTCTGTAAATTTACTATACTCACATTAGTTAGAATCCATACATTCGAGACCGTCAGCATGTAAGCTCAACTGTGCAGACTTTCCACGTCTAATCTAACAAGTAGATTGTACTACAGCTTAAAATAATGTTCACCTTTTCACGTTGACACGACAGTACTTGTAGTCGTAGTCGTCGTCGTCGTCGTCGATTGAGCCACCGTTGCCATTGTCATTAAAGTTAACGTAGTACCAAGAGCATTTTGCTCCGATGTTCCTGGAACAATATCCTTTTCAACACACACTTTTTTCGATTCTTTGCGTTCGTCAGAAGAACTTGACTTCCTTTTGTGATTCGAACTCGACGAATGAGAACGACTCAATGCCGAATCAGCCGACCGATTACCGGACGACTTCTTCTGTCGATCCCTGCTACCATGACTATGATGTCCGTCTCTTCTTTTCTCAGATTTCCTTTCACTGTCTTTATTATCTGCACGATCACTTTTATTAGAAACATTATAATCTCTGGGTAGCGAAATCATTTTTAAAGTATTCCCTTTACTACTACTATTACTACTACTACTTTCTCCTGTTTTATTCTCGGATTTATTAGACTGAGGGCTACGATAATGATGCCTTTTGTGATCTTTATCGCGTCTATCTCGATCCCTTTTGTCTTTATGCCGTTGATTTCGAGAACTCTTATCGTTTCTATGCTTTCTTTTAGATTCTGAATGTATCGTATGTACATCCGATGAAAATTTCGACGAATTCTCATCGCTACTACCATTCCTCCCGTTACTACTACTGTGTCTTTCAGTTTCTGTTGACGCCGATGTAGATATGATCGAAGAACAAGAAGAGGAACTAGCAATTTTTGATACCGGTATCGAACCTTCCTCGCAGGAATTATCAGTAGTCGATCTACATACCTTTTCATTTTTCGCTCTTTCCTTGGCTTCGTCCTCAGCCATTTCAATAAGCGCTTTCACCGCATTTTCGGTAGCGCATTCCATTTTTGACGTGAAAGCCATCGTGGTTTCCATCTCCAGTAATTGACAATATCGTTCTACTTTTGTCGTATCCTCTTTGTACTTTTGTTCGGCAATTTCAAAACTTTCTTTATGAATTTTTTCTAGCACCTCTTTCGAAGCCTCCGCGACGCCAATCCGCAGAGACTGACATACTTCTTCAACGTCAGTTTTTGACTTATATATCGCAATCTCTAAAGCCTTGTCGACTACTTCTGTTGCATACGTTTTTGCGATCATTTGCCGTTGAGCTAATACGTCCTGCTCAAGGGTAACGGTGCTGCCACAGTCGGTAATATTATGCTCCGTTGAACAAAGCTCCGAGGAAGTCAATTTTTTACTATCCTTCGAAGAACACCCCGAGATGTCGTATTTATTTATTGACTTAGATTCGAGAACATTTGAAATGCTTTCTTTCACCGATGCGCTATTACTGCTTGATCGACCGTGATGACTACGATGATGATTATTACAATCATATTTCTTTTTCTCTCCGGAATGACTGCTATTACTACTGCTGTGAGAATGATGATTGGATTTTTCATTTGATCGTCGACGATCTTCGTGTTTTCTATCAGATCTCTTGTCATTCCGTTTCTCGTTACTTTTTTGTTCTGCTGTATTATTCTTAGTACATTTATTATTAAAAATACTCGAACAATTATCGTTACCCCCTCTCGAATTCTTTCTCTTGCTCGAAATCGATGAATGCCTCGAGTGATCTCTACTTTTACGTTCCTCCTTACGTTTTCCGTGATGATCTGATTTCTTCAAATTTCCTTGATACTCAGCTGCTCTTTCTTTCGCTTTCTTCTCTTCGAGCGAATCCACGCGTTGACGATTTGTATTTTCCTTCTGTTCGTCCCCTATATTAGCAGTCTCTAAAAGTTTCTTATCCTTTATACGATGAGACGATTCGTTCCCGACACGTCCATGTCTAACGCTTGAATTATGCTGCGAGTCTGGGTAATACTGTTTTAATCTGACATGCCAGGCTATGCTCGAGACAGCAGAAACTGTTCTAAACTGATGAATTATGTTACGTGGTAAAAAGTAAATGTCATTGTCGTATAAATTTATTCTAGCATAGCGTATACCCTGTCTACGCAATTGATTCAACTTAGCATCCTCGACCCATTGTACACATTGTGATATTGGCGGTTCGTGAAGGTCTAGCTGCAATTTCTCAACTAGCTCAGGAAAATCAGCAGCATAGAAAGCCACAACGTCTTTTGTAATTCTGTTATACTCTGATGGTTGCCCACCATGAACGGCCTTGAGTATGCCAACCGCAGCTGTCGTCATTCTATCCAATCCATGTCCTACATGATCGGCATGTGCCTTTGTACGATCCTCGAACATGTATTCACGTGCTTCGCTAAGACGTGGTAAATACTGTAGATTTCGTAATTCGTTAATGCCTGTTCTACGTCTCTTGCATGGACTTTTGTTGATATCCGCTGTTGGGACTAATTGTTCACCCGGTCTAATCCATAGAATTGGACCGTCGTTTGATTCTTGAGGAGTATCCATCTTTACAACAGACAGTGGTCCCCAAGGCATAGTCTATAACAATAAGTTATATCTATATTCTATACAATAACTATAAAGAAAGTTACGCATTTATATATGCGTATGAATAATATAAAATGGTATCTTAAACAATAACGCAGTTTGTATTTACCAGTTTTAAAAATGGATTTTCTTCTAACTTCTGCAGAAGATCCGGAAAATATCCACCAACTTCTTCGTGAACAGTACCCACGAGACTTATTTGGTGGAGAGGTCCGTACCTAACAGTACCATTACTGTACGCTTTACAAACTTGTTCCTTGTATTGAATCATTGTTGTAGTTTCTATATCACTGTTTCTTCCTAACACACCGTTTTTAACGGTTAACGTAGGATAATTATCAGCCATGTAATCCAAAAGATCAGGAAGATATGCGGCAGAATTATGTACTATTCCCATAACGTGATGGGCATAACCGTTTTCGTCTTCACCAAAAACCACCTGTAATATCGAAACTATTTTCCTTATTTGCTTTTTCGAACGATTATTATATTGATAGCAGCGATACCGTTTAAAAATAATTATAATGTACTTAATTTATTCTTAAATTATTTATCTATGTTTACGTACTCTGAAATACTCTTGAGCTAATTCTTCTATTTGTTCACGTGATAATGTATCAATTTCATCTTGATACATATGTACAACAGTGGCACCGCCGTTAGGATAAGTTTCTATATGAATGTACTTTTTATACTTTAGGCCTTCTAACAATTCATTTTTTACCGGTGCATTGTGTAGCATTTTATAATTTTTCGTTTGTAAATTTAACCTGAGATTTTCGTTTGTAGATTTTGAGAATGGTTGAGACATTGGTTTATTACTTAACGAAACGATACTACGATCTCGTTTACATTGTACACCGATACTTGCTCGTTTTATTTTACTTCGCTTGTAACATCGCGAACAATAACGTCGTTCATTGTGTTCCTTGCTTCGTTTCTCTCGTGACGACGAGTACGATTTAGAATGTGAATTCGAGGAAGTAGAGTCAGCACAGTTTATCGGTTTATCATGGGACAATACAGTATCTGTACGTCCACCTATTGTCACAGGTATATTATCACTAGACCACTCAGATTTGAGTATACTCAATTGCTCTTGAGTATCAGTCAATTCTGTTTTAATTTCAACCTCTGATTTTACTTCTCTGTGAATAATATCCGTTTGTTTATCCATCTTTTCTTCTTCGTTTGATTTTATTTGTTTAACGGGAACGTGTTCGTCGGTATTTTCTAATTGTCCGCAAAACGAATAAGACAGATTTTTATTCATTTTAGCGGCTAAATTATTTGTATTCTCTGCGTCATATTTTGCTGTATCCATTACGATAGTTGAAATCGTAATTGGCGACGCCATACTACTGGGAAGCGTTGTGTTAGGAGTATTCGGACTATCAGAAACTCTTGGAGGATAATCTGGACTTCTTGGACTGCTAATCATTTCACCGCTACTCTGAGGACTTTCCCCTAATTGAGGCGTGTTACTGTGTTCGAAATTTATACATCCTTCTAATTTTGTTGGCAATGCGAGCATCCCACTAGATACAGTTGTATCTTTGTTACATATTGAATCGACCTATTGAATAACAAACATATTAGTTATGATTGTCCAAGTTTCGTGAAGTAAATTTTATAGTTTTACATAATTTCTTGTAGATGCATACATGGACAGGATGTTGAATTGGTTCTATCAATGTTTTTCTTAATTCATTGTTGCAATAATCCGGATTCCCTATAATATTGATTTAAATAATTAAAGTATATACAGTAATTATTCTTTTAGATAATTTATAAAATTCTCATATACTACATATACATGTATATATACGTGCATACATATATCACGCATTCATTGTTTCAACACTTTATCTAGCATTGAATTTTATTAAATTAGATTTATTTATATTCAGTCTTTTGTTTACGCTATAATCATTGTTACATAAACAATAATATATTATGTCTGTTAAATTAATTGTAAACAATATCTTCATCTATATATACAAACATCAACATAAATTTTATATCATATGTAATTCTTAATTTTTAAATATATTACGAGTAAAGATATAAATATTTATTTAACAGTAAATAACAACGAAAGATATTACCGTCTGGCTGTTCAGAAATACAGGCAATACTATCCAGATCATTCTTCTGGCTGGACATATTGTGTGTCTCCACGGGTGATATATGTAATTTAGCGTTGACAGTAGGTTTATAAGTATTATGATCTTGCACATCACCAGAGGAGCTCATGAAATTTATATTTTTTTGTAATTCCTGTTCTTCCGTGTTTGCGTTAAACGATGACGCTGTAGAGAAAATCGTGGGCGTCTTGGTAGAATGTAAAGCGAGATTGTCCGAAAAATCGTTTGTCTCTTTAATAACACTATTCCACGTTGTTCTCGGCACTTTTAAACTAGTTGTTTCCGTTTGTATTGGTTCAAATACTTGCTGAATCGTGTTATTTACATCACATCGTTCATTTGACACAATACCCGTACTAGTTTCGGATGCCATCTTGATTCTGTGAGCAATGTCCTGAACATAACGATACTACGCAACATTTGATTGGATATTTCTTAGCCGCCTTTCGAATAGACCTTATTCTATTCGTCTGAAATCGGATAAAAAGTGGGGGTAAAACCAGTAGATATAGAGGTACCATGAAGATTTTTATTCATTCCACTCTTCTACCACCAATCTTGTTTCCTTCGCAATTTTTTGATTATAAAATATCATAGCTCTTTACAATTCTTATGTTATGTATTACATAATTATAGACGCTTCAAATTACAATGTTAATCATTTTACAATAAAAGATCTGATAAAAATCATTCTTCGTGAATATTTCATTTTATCGCTAATGTTGAAACTTTAATTAAATTTAAATAACATTTGATAATAAATAAATAATGATGTTTAATGGCCTTAAACCTTGAAAATGATACTGATGCAAATACTTTTCAGCTTAGCAAAGTTTTATACGAATTTTATAAATATTTACCTTGAAGTAGAAAAGTCTTATATTTTATTTATTAATATTTTCATACATGAAATTTCTATACTTTTACCGTGTCGCCATCAATCGATAGCTATTCTTGTAATTGTATGTTTAATGGCATTGTTTATTATTTCATAAAAATAGATAGCTCAGTTGTTAAAATATTTTGTTATTTATGTATTGTAATTATATAAACTTCCAAATGTCAACATGTATAATTTTATATTAAATACCATTTATGATTCGAGTAAAAAATTTATTTACATTCATATTTATGAAAATTCCCATCCAGGATTCATTTCTATACATTGTTTAGCTGCGAAATTATTTTATTCTATTTTTCTTCATTTTATTATAAATACATTATTACCATCATCATCTTCAATACAATGTTATTACTTATTTTGTAAATTAAGTTTCGATACAAAACTATAAAGCATAATATTTATTATATATAAACATTTTTATTCATTTTAATCTTGACTTTATAAGCCTGTTTGTATCGTAACATACCATCTAATAACAAAAGAAATATGCTCTTTAAATTATATATATAACGATGTTTAATATATTACTATATTAAAATTAAAATTAATCCTAACAACTTTTGAATTTTACTATTATATATAAGTTTAAATTTACAAATACATTATTTACTGCTTAAACAAAATTTAATTTAACTTTTCTCCATAAAAAAAAAAACAATAAATGAATGTTACATTTGAATTCTAGATCGCTTAATTGAATTTTGATTCTTATCACATTGAGACCCAATTGTTTAACTAGATTCGGTATTAATTTTAGCACAGCTATATCTGAATATATTATAGTTACATTTTTGTAATATTTCTTTTATGTATAATAATTAAATTGTATATAAATGATTATTATAAATAATAAATTATATTACAAATAATATTTAAATTACATCTCGTTTATTTATCAATATTTATTGTCAATGAAATGAATAAATTTATATATTTAGGCATTTATTAATAGCCCGAAATGTGTAAATTTATCCATGAGGGTTTCAATGTGGTAAGTGGTGTATTACTTGTTTTGCAAAAACAAGCAGATATATTATGCTCTGATATGCTCAGAAAAGTTTGAAAAGAAATATGTCAAATATGGTTTTAATTAATATAGTAAAGGAACTTGATAGAAAATAATTAGAATTAAGAAATTATTATTACAAGCGGAAAGCGGTCAGTCACACGACTTTATAATTACAATTGCAATGGTCCATGATCATGGAATTGTTAGAATGCATTCAACACAAGTGACACAATTTATACAGTAATTAATTATATAAAAACTTTTGCATTAAAAAAGCATACAATAGAAATTTTTACTACACAGAGCATCTAAAAAAGAATCTTGACTATGAAAGCTATGAATTTTTCATGTCAAAAGAAATAAAATAAAAATTCTCATGAATTTGTAAGCTTAGGACTTTACTCACTAATCTTCAATAATTCGTTTCGAAGATGAAGTTATAAATTGTAAAAAATGATAAAGAACTTTTTGATTTCTATTGGCATGAAAAATTTTCATTTTCCATGTACATTTCCTTTGGATACTCTGTATGTTAGATTATTACTTTTAACACGTTGATTGCGTTTTTGATGCACAGGGAAAATATATAATAGATTTCAGATTCATTTGCGAACACAATACCCAATATTACATACTTGCCTTAGAAGTGATTTTTCAAATGATATATAAAACATAAAACATTTCCATGATACAATACGCTTTGGTTACCACAAATAAGATATCTTATTTAAATGTTGATACAAAATAAAATATCTCGAACAATGATAATATTTATTTCTACAAACATTGTTTCAATTTTTAAATTATATATAATTAATATTAAATATACACAAAGAATCTATAAAACTCGATCATTTATGGCACAATATTTTTCTGAATTAATATATATACATTAATATATATGTATATATTAAAATTAAGCCTATCTATCATATAATCTTTTTACAAAGTCCATGAAATAATTTTTAAATAATTTACTGAAACAAATTCAGTATAAATACAGAAGTACAAAAAATATTTCTATTTTATTGTTTGCATAATCCTTTTCTACATGTTTGGAAATATTTTATACTATAATGATATTAAACAATATCATTTCCATGTATCTTTTACTATAAAAAAGAAAGAAGAAAAAGATACTGTGTTTTTTGTTTTTTTTTTTGGAAATAATGTTACGAAACTCAAGTTTAGTATTTGTATAAATTTCTTTTTATTAGCTATCAACGTGTTAAAATTATCTGAATCTGTTTTAACGATCACAAAAGGTAACATTTTCTTTTTTTAAATCAACTGAATTGCACTATCTTTTATCTTTTTACTTTTCTTCTTTACAGCCTTAACTTTCACGATAGTCTTTCCAGCCTTTCCCTTAGTAGATACAGATTTATCTTTTAATGATTTCATTTGTAATTTCATTTCAGTTTTCGGTAATTTTTTGTTTTTTATACTCTTTACACTGAGCTTGCTGTCTTTTTTAACTTTGGTTGCAGTTTGAATCGCTATGCCGGATCTTACACAAGACCCGGGTAGCTTGTACTAGGCAGTAACTTTCACCTTTTTCTTCCTCTTTTTCTTCTTCTTATCGTGATGAAGCTCTTGTTTTTTCGCTATGCAAAAGCGGCAATACCAATCTTCATTTTCAGCTGGTGGCACTTGCATACCAACGCATACCCTGAATCATTTAAAATACACAAACTAAGTATGAAATGTAATTATAAGTTAATTATAGTGTGGTAATTATACGAGAAACTAACATCTTCTTCCTTCCTGTATTTTATAAAACAAACATTGCAAAAAAAGGAACAAATTATAGGTGGTATGATTTTTGTAATCAGGGAAATTATTTAAACCAAGCGTGTACTCATGTGTTTGTTTATAAACGTTTAATTTTTTACTTACCAATGATACCAGGCATCGCAATCATCACAACCAACCATAGGAGATCCATCATCCTGGTTGCCACAAGCAGGACATATCCAAACTTGAGTACCACCTTGATCCTAAAAAACTCATATTACAATAAAAACACAACATATTTTGCTTTTATTATATTTATGGATAACCCAACCCATCTTTTGTACCATCTTAAAATATAGAAACATATTAAATAGTGTAAAAAATAAATAACTTCTTATATTTATGTATGATAAAAATTTGTATATCTTATAGTATATAAAATAATTAACAAACGTTATATTTATTGAAATATTCTTATGTAAAACATGGCAATTTATAAACATAAGTATGATGTATCGAAACTAAAAATTGTAATGCATGACTGATGAGACATAAATATGTAAGATGCTTAATAAATAAGATGTTACAGCAGGTTTAATGAAGATGAAATGGTTTTAAAATTAAACAATTATAACTATTCTGTAATAGTATATTATATATATCTAATAAATACTATTACGTTCAAGTTGTGGTGTATAAGAATAATGGTATGTAAATACACCATTTACTTTTGCTATTACATACATGAATAATAGGAAAGGAATAACACGTTATGTATAAAAATTAAGATTTTGGCTTGTGGTAATTAAATTTTCACTTGGCCCGCAAATAGTAGCAAATATAATTTAGTATTTGATGAGTTACTTAAAGGACCAAGTTCGTTAAGCCAAGATTATAGAATTACTTAATTTTCCCTATCGGATTCACCCTTCTTATAGTTGCACATTTTTGTCACAGTTACAACTGTAAATTGAAATTGTATATGTTACTTTTAAAATTTTTATAAATAAACGTTAATGTTTAAGGCAATTACATGTATAAGACAATGCAATGTATAAACATCAAGACAGAAGTTATGTTCCAAGTTCATTAATAATAAATATGTAAAGGAATGAAAAATCGTCTCAACCTTGACTTGACAATTTTCTGGATACATTAATGATATTAAAATTTTATTACAGAATCATAATTCTGAAGTGTCTTATAATAACATGTGTTGTAATAAGCATTTCATGGAAACTTCAAACTAAATACTAAAAAATTGTCTAAGATCATAAATTCAGGCAAAAACTAAACTGAACACAGGAAATCATACACATGTAGTTTTAATTCAGTTAGAGCAAATAGGAAATAGACTGTTTTATCGTTTTAAAAGGAGTACCTAACGACTTTTGTGTAAAATGGGAATGTACTCACCACAGTAGTGGTCGGTGTTGGGGGCAACACGATCCTGCCATTTTCTTTGTCTTCCTTAGCATCATCCTTTTTAAGAGCTGCATCTGCTTTCGTCTCTGTACCGTTAAAACCGTTGGTTATATTCCTAACTGTTTTGCATGCTTTGTTTAATGACAACATGCAAATTGCATGCAATCAATCAATTCTTCCTATTTTGCAGATTCTTTAATATTTCCCCTTTTGTATTGCAATATTTTTTTGTCAAATTGATGATTATTTGTCAATGTTATCCTCTTATTTAAATTTAAATGTGCAAATCTTTTTGTAACGGTAAAAGAAACAGCAAAGAACGCTCACTGTCAAATACACCATTCACATCTCTTTGAATAAGTATTGTATTTATTTTAGTAATAATTAACTGCTTTGCTTTTAAAGCACGTTAAATGCAAATTAAATTTCAAATCTTTGTTTTTAACATTAACTTTGTGCAAAAAAGTAGTACATTAATAGTATTTGTAAATTTTTTCCTTACATTGCATTTCAAATATGTAATTCCAACGTGTAAGGAAGTCTAACAGTACTTTAGGGTCTTTAGATGTTTTCACATTGCATGTCATTTCAAAATTTAATGTATAATAATACTTTCTTATTAAACGTATAGAGGAAATCATTCTTTTTTACAAAAAAAAAAAAAAAAAAAAAAACTGTGTAACAAATATTCTATAAAAATATATAGAATCTTTAGGTGCCGTACAATTGTTTAAGAAAGCATGTATTACAATATTGTACATCAAAATTACATTAACACTTATCTACATGCATATAAGCCACAAACTTCGTTAACAGAAGTATGGTATGTTAAGTTGTTAACTTAAATAATTAGTTAAATAAAAAAGAAGTATTTTCTATAATTACATAGATGCACAAAGAATTATTTAATACATTTAAAAAACAATTAGATGTCAGAATATTTTCTAATTTTCATAACTAATTCAAATCACAGTTGCACTGTACACAAAGGGAGTGTAATTTTATCACTCAAATCATGCAATACTGTTATTTAAATTATAAAACTAGAAAAAAAATAAATTTACTTTTGTATCAGCAATATTTATCCTCACTTGAAAAGTATAAAGAGTATTTCAGTAGTCTGAAATATACTAAACACATTGCAAAAATATTTGTACTGAATCAGTGTAAAACTTTTTATGGCTTATAGGCATCTAAAATAAACATCCTTTTTTTTTTAAATCTAATCCTTGAAGGTGTTTTTCTTGAAGTGTAGAGATAAATATGTAATTAAATATGGATGGATGTGTGTTACTGTAAAAGCTTTAAAAAATGTTTTCTTTCATTTAAATGTAACATGATAAAATTTATACTGCTTTGTGTATAAATTATTATTTCTATGAAACATTCAATGAACTCAATGATCATTTTTAAAAATCTTGCTCCAATTATGTTAAACACGTATTTTCGTAAAAATTTTGTAATTCTATTACAAAAACCCTCTAGAAAACAATATCACTTTGTATTTGTATTTTAGAAGAAAGTATCAAAAGAAGAAGAAGTTTAAGACCCAGTTGAGCAGTAGTGCAATATGCGAAAGATCTTAAAAGTTGGTTTGTCATATAAAAATGTTTAAAATACAGAATAATTAGGTTTTAAGATTTTTTCTACGCGTAAAGTTCCACCTATATGAAGATGATAGAAGTGTTAAAATTTACAATTAAGTAAACTTATAACCACAACATGAAATACATAACAAATCTAATATAAGCTATAAGATCGTTCTAAATACGATTTAGAGAAACGTAACTATATAATAAAGCAGGCCAAATGAAAATTATACCATCACCGCAAGTCATAAATGCATAGAAAGTAAAATATGAAATACTGGGAAACAGGAAGTTTTGGAATGAGGTGAAATTTGAATAGTATCGATGGGTTGAGTTAACTGTTGCAATAAAAGTAATATCAATTATATATAAAATGATGTTAGATATATGATGCTCAAGTGAAATTTTTGTCAAAAATTTAAATCAGCTATTCGAAATCCACTCCGATTTATGCATTTCTTTTTGTGATAAAGTATATTATATAATTTTAGATAATGAAGATAAGCAATTATGATTGATAAATAACTAATCTGATATGAATTATTTATTACTATGTGCGAACGAATAATAGAATAGGGTTGTCACTTAGGCTTATTCATGATTTTCTTTAATATGAAACTCCTTTCACTTAAATAAATAAAATTATAGTTATAATCATCATAAAAAAACTTTAATAAGATACAAATGTTTATAATCAATTTGTAGCAATATGTATATAAAGAAAAAATTACTTTGTACTAAGATCATGAACTAAAAGCACAAAGAATGATATTAATATAACAAAAATATAGAAAATTAAATACGAAATTATTTCTTTAGATTCATAAGCAGTGACATCCCTAAGCATGAGATTTTAAATTTAATTTCGATAATTCATTTTTTAACACATAAGTATTTGAAAATATAACGTTTCTTTATATTTGAAATATATTTTTACCACATAAAACGTACTTACATAATAATATGGTGGTTGTTGTGGCGTCATAGGAGGTAGGAATTTGGGAGCAGGATCAAAGTGAGGAATCTCTCTTGGAGGTAAGGCTTTGAAGAGAGATTTCTTTGCTCGAGGAACTGTTGCAAGTGGCACACTAGTAAGACTAGCAGAGAAAGTATCTGTAGGAAGAACAGGACTTCCATCTAATGTTCCCTCCTCTGTTTTCTTACTTGCCAACTTTTGTTTTGGTGGTCGCGTTACTAGTGCTGATATTTTTGCTAACTCTGGACTTGGTTCTCGTTTTGTTTCCTCCTCAGGCTTCTTCAGCAATGTTTTTATCGTTCTATAACACAGTTCCCTAATAATAATATATGCATCATTAAATGGACAGAAATGTATTCAATAAAACCCATGTACTCTATACTTCTATATTAACGTAAAATCAAAAAGGAATAAAAAAACATACTACATTAATATGATAGGAAACACAGCTTCAAAATACTACAAAAAATTATAAACTGTAAATGAAAAGAAGAAAAAAAAAATTAGTGTAAACTTACATCTTTTTCATCGGAGTACTATCAGGCGTTGGTGGTCTTGGAGAAGCTGTCCCTAATTTTAGTGTTATTTTTGGCACAGCTTCTGAATTCTTATCTTCCTTCTGCGACAAAATATTAAATTTGTCATTTTATATTACATATACATAATAAAAATAAAATAAAAACATAATAAATTTTACTTGTTGTACCTCTTTTTCTTTTCGCTTATCTTTCTTTTCCTTCTTTTCTTTAATTTTATCTAATTTTTCTTTTTTATCTATCTTATCTTTCTTTTCTTTTATTTTTTCACTTTTCTCCTTATGTTTCTCCTTCTTCTCTTTTTTCTTCTTTAATTTCTCTTTCTTTTCCTTTTTATGTTCCTTTAATTTCTGAAAATAAAAATCATATGCAATAAACAACTGTTCAAGAACAATGTCATTTTCATTTAATTTCTTATTCGCTTCAATTTTTATATAACTTTTATTATATGTCCATTTATCGTACATATAATTACTTGATAAATGTCGAAACATAAGAGAGAAAAATTGAACTGAAGCAAACAATTACCTTATCATTTTTATCCGGTTTTTCAATTTGGGGACTTTTTGAAAGTAATAACGGCACGATAGGTACTGGTGTAGAATACGTAATTGGTGCTGCAAGTGCGGATGATAATGGTGGTGCAACAGTATTTGTAGGAACTGGTGTGACAATCTCTTTGTCCTGCTTAACCACCTTTAGTTTATCTCCTTTTTCTTTCTCTATTTTTTCATATTTTGTTACTGAAGGCATAGCTTCGGTAGACGAAGGTGCTGAAGAAGGTTTCTCACGTTCAACAGATTTATGTTTCGGTAAGGTTGACAAATCTTCTGATTTTTGTGGTAAATTTAGAAAACGAGGCGGTAAAGGTAAATTTGGCATTGCTGGATGGGGACCAGTAGTACCTCTTCCTAAAGGTAACGGAAACCTGGGGAACATAGGATGTGGTATTAAACCAGGTGCCGGAGGAAACGCCGGAAAAAATGGAAACGGAAGCGGGAAACTTGGATCTTTCGACAGTTGAGGTTCAGGTGCCTGTGGAGTTTTTGGCCGATCTAATACATCCAGTTCTGGAACGTCGTTGGTAAGCTTTGTCTGAAAAATGGTAATCGCGTATCGGCGATGTCTTTCGCCATCTTCAAGCAATTAATGGTGCTCGCACGTACGTGCACGCACGCACATGTGTATATGTGTTACCATGTTACACTATATAGAAAGAAAAACCAGCTTACCTTTTTCGGACTAACGCAACGTTTCGGACTTCTTGATTTTAACTCCTTCTTTTTACTGATCTTTTCTTTTTTCTTTTTCTTATGATCTGTAGGAGTAGTGGGCATATTTAGTTCAGGGGTTCTTGGCGTACTCGGAGTTCCTGGCGGAGACATATCATCAAACATGTACACATCAGATCCTGGACTTGGTACATCAGTTAATTCTCCTCCGTCAGGTTGAAGGTGGACATCCGGTGTATGAGGTGTCTTCTTTTCTTCTCTCTTCGCATCATTATCATTACTAATTGTTTGCTTATCAATATTTTCATCTATTATTAAACCTGGCGAACTTTCCCTTGAATCGAGTTCCTTGTATTTATGTTGCTCTGATATGTCTTTGTCCTTATCCTCCCGTGGTTTTGAAATCTTCTTAAAAATATTTAATTTTTGTTTATCCGGCTCTGATGGTAATTTATCAATGTTATCCTCCTTTCTTTCAACCGCTGTAGATCCATCGACAAGATCAATTACTTTCTCTGTTTTTGCCTTTGGTTGTGCAACTTTTTGCAATTTTGGACTACCACTAGCTTTAGGTGACATTAGTTTTGGAGTTGATGGTCTACTCGATGAACTTGGCATGGCGCATTGTGCTTTTCCACCTCCAGGCTTCAAAGGTTTTAATTTAGCTAATTCTTTCATACCAGCTAATTTTTTAATTTTATTGTTATCTATCTTGTCTGGTTTAAATAATTCTTTAGCACGATTTTTCTTTTTATTCTCTTTATCGATTTTACCGTCTTCTAATCCTTTCTTTATAATCTTTTTAGGTTTCTTATCATATTTTAATTCGGGTGGTACCATGGGATAAGAACTAGGCTGTGGTGAATCTGAGCGAGTTTGATGAGGTGTTCTTGCTTCAGGCAATTTTCCTTCTCGGGCAGGTGATAAAAAACCAGAAGTAGTCATCATTACACTATGAATTTCACGCAACGGTCTGCCTTCTTCTAATACTTTTACACGCTTCACTATAGGACTTTCATATGAAACAGGATCGCCTGGTCGCTTAAAAACTACTTGTGGTGACATTCTGTGTGGAGATGCATTTGTAGAATTATTGGTTGGTGTTGTATTGATCGATGCTACATCAGCGGTACCATTTACTAAATTTTCTGATTTTTCTGCCACATACTCTTCTGTAAAATAATCATTTACTTCATTTTAACAAAATTAACACTTTACTCATTATTGAAATTACACTACATTTTTAACTAGACACTGTTAATACGTTATCTTATTCTCATATTTAAATTTTTCGTACAATTTTTTGTTACTTTAGTTATTTTAATAAATATATATCGAGTTACTAAACATTAAGATTTAAAGCGTCGCAGTTTTGTATTTATTAATGAAATAAGCCTAATTAAAGCATAAAGAAATTAATATCATCTTCCATTGTTTAGTTTCAATAATACTGTACATGTTACACTTTATTTTAACATATTCCGATTTAAAAATATAAACAAATAAATATTTCAGCAGTTTAATTTATAATTTATGTAACAAAGAATATGTATTAATATGATTAGTACATATTTTACCTTCAGTACCAGGATACATAGCTGGTAAATGTTCATGTATATGTACTGGCCTTGTTACAACCTCTCTACTTCCAGGTTTTAGAAAGTTCAAATGATTTTCTCGTCGGACTGGAAATTTAGGTACTGCTATAGAACATTGAACAGACTCTACATTTTTAATGTACTCTGCCAATTCTTGCACATCAATGTTCATGTGGCGAAATGCTAAACCTAAATCATTTATATTAGCTTCCGTTCTTCCCACTGAAAAAAATGTTAACTTGAAATATATTAACGTTAAAAAGGTATTATGTTTTATAACAGACATCTTGATATTTTTTTAAATACTTACAAATTTCTGCATACTGATGAGTAAGTTTAGAAATTCGTAAAATATATTCTTGCATAAGATCAACCATAAATTCTAATGGCGTAGAATTAATAGAATGCCATCCAATTGTCTGGCAAATTTGGGCAACAACCATTCTTAAAACACCTCTGCTATATTCTGTTGACATTTTTAACTATAACAGAAACAATGAAACTTGCATTAATAGTAAAACCTGTCAGAAATGTTTATAAAAAGTTTCAAACAGATCTATTAAAAATCTTAGTGTATTTTTAAATATTTATATAAAATAAATAACAAGATTTATACATGTATGATATAAATACAAGAATTACATATAAATTAATTTGTGCAATTTTACTTACCAATGTAAAAGAAACTGTACAAGATTTTATCAATTTTTTAGCTTATTATACTAGAATACATACATTTTTATTACACTATTTAACTTCATTTAGCACTTCGGTGTTAACTTGTGCAATTCACTTTGATAATAATACATATTTTACTTGTGAAACGTAATGAAATGTAAATAACACAATAGGCACAAAACGTAATACGTCTTCACCGCCTTCACATCTTCCTTCGAACGTATTTTTACTCCTCCATAACCACCGATGCATATTATAATATACCGTACACCATGATGGCGGAAGGTTTCTTCAGTCATGAAAGTAAAAAAAGTAGCGTCATTTTAGTTCTACTTGAGCCCATTTATAATGTTAATGTGTAAGAAGTTGTCAGATTAAAATTTTACAGTCGTTTAATTATTATCATTTTATTGTATAGATTTATATAATGTTTAATTGCACAAGTACTATTTTATATGAACACAAATTTACTCTACAAAACATTTCATTACGAAAATTTAATTTTCACAGAAACACTACTTTTCGATCCACAGAAAAATTGTGAGAAATTATATTCCATATTTATTTGTTTCTATTTATAAATTGTAAAACAGAACTATTATTTTAATGTTTCAATGTTTATTACGTCCATAAACTACTAATAAATAGAATGACGACTCTGGAAACTATACACATAGCGATCATAGTATATACGCCGTCCGCCATACTGCTCCTGCGCAGTACGAGCCAATCAGAGTCAACATGCGCAGAGCGGACGAACATTCATTTTTTGAAAAGTATTGAAGAGAAGCACCCTCGCATATTATGAATTAATATTTTATCTAATAAAATAAATATAGTCCAATACATATAATAAAGATCTGAAGAGATCTAGTATGTATGTTCAAAAGGTTCTATGAAAATGAATAACTGAATTTCTTTACAAAATTCAAAAAAAAAAAGAAAAGGAATCTTATAAAATGAAGCATATATTTTTTGGGTTACCCTCATCAATTTTATAACAATAAAAAGATAAAATTCTCTTATTTTGAATGTATAATTTTCTAGCTAAGAACTTTTCGTTTTTAACGTAAATTTTGGAGAAGAAAAATCAACTTCCGGCCTGAAGCTATTTAGATCATGTTACAGGAGATTGAAAGCGAGTACTACTCGTACACATGTATGTATATCTTTTAGTCTGCTTTCCTTCTGACCGATTACCTTTCCCACGGCGGCTTATAGGAACATAACTACGTTTATATTACAGTCTGCCGTGTGCATTTAGTCACACGAGCATGCACATGCACGAATAAGCTTAACATACAGATCACTATGAGAAATTCTTATTGCGAGGGCGATTGTCTGTTGCAATCCTAAAACAACGGCGCTGATCTAGTTTGAAAATCGAACGAGTAAAATTCTCTCTACTGAACTTCAGTGATTCGATGACCTAAATATATATTTTACAGTCATTCATGAATATTTTCAAAACCAACAATTGGTTTTATTTTTTAAAACAAATTATCTACATTCAAGAGCAAAAGTTGAATAATAATTATATGAAATACTTTAAATTTAATTGAACAAAGTTATATAGCTTTGTTCTTAATAAATGTAATAATTGTTATAAATCTTTTTTTTTGGTACTGCAGCAATTGATTTTGGTTTATCCGATTGTGTTCTATAGTTCAATCATATTTTCAAGCGGTGGTCTAGTTCGTACTGACCCGGTGGTTTGCTCTCGAAATTCTTACATTCACCGTCTGGCGTTCACCTAAGTAGATGATAGAATGTTCTGTTGTCCTCTCGAGCAACTCTACCTTTTAGTATCAATCACATCCTTGTGTAAATTAGATGTAGAAATGAAATCGGTGCCTTTTCATTAATCGAAGATTTATTTGTAAAAAGTCATAGTGACTTTGATTATCTTCTTAATCGTCCATATTATCGTGTGCCGTACTAGGCATGATTGTTTCTACTGTGGGAATCAACGTGTTAAGGTCATATTGTAGAGCGGTGAGGATATATCTAACTAGGGAAATGTAAAATCTTTAATTTACTTGCATAGAATGCTACAGATTTAATTTGAATCTATTTGTAAGAGATATTAAGTAAAACTACACTTATTAATAATTGTCTTAAAACGGCCACCTTTAAATAATCGTTGAATTATGCAATCAACTCGGGCTGCTGTTTTCCGTGGTCTGAGTGATCCTATTTCATTAGGAAATAGGATGAAATCATGTTTCAAAACTCAGTAACAAGTATTGCTGAAAATCTATTCCGAAAAGTTTTTAATTTTCACTTAGTAATGGTCAAATTTCTTGTCGTATACTCGGTGAAATGTATTTACGACGACCTATTTTAATAAAGTGAATGTACCAGTTAGGAAGCCGGAACTAATCTGTGTATGCCATGCCGGTTTTCTTACCGATTTTTCACTGTATTTTGAAACATTGAACATTAGAATCTTGTATTTTTCCTGTAGGAATTGTTTAATTCATTTCGTTCCGAAAGTCAACGATTATATAGAAAGTCATGTAAAATGATATTACGTTGCACGCTCATCCATAAACTACATCTTAACATTCAGCTATAGGGTGATTTTCTTTAAATGACTTTGCGTAAGGAATCGCGCCGCTCGGAGGCGCCTGGGAAACGTCGACCCTCTTTGCATTTGGGGTTGCGAAGCGTGGGATCATACATCGGGGGTTACGTTGCTGGCCTGGCACGATTCTTTTATTTTCTTCTATATCTTTTAAACGAAAAGTGAACGGCTATTATACACGTGAAATTACTCAGGACATTGACCTCTATAATCTATAACATATGTCAAGATCATTGAAATCACTGAAGTGTACCCTACTCTATGCAATTACCACAAATACTCTAATTGTTAATTGCATTTCACTTTGGACAAATAGTATTTTTTGTACGGTACGGAATGTAAAACAACCGTGCAAAATTTGGCATAATGTTAAAAGAAGTGTTAGGTCGTTGGTTGATAATGAGGTCCGTAAAATTCAAATGTATATTAATGTCTTTGTTTCCTGCAGTTCGTGTATCCACGATAGTAGTAGACACTTGGAAACAGTTCTCCGTGGAAAAGTGGTTAACAACCCCACCTGATCTGCCGGGCGCGGCCTTTCCCCTTCATCTATAAAGCCACTTGGAAACCATTTCCACTGAACATTCACTCAGCGCTTCGTCACTCATTTGTTCACCATGTGGCTGCTTATCCTCGCAGGTAAGTGTGCTTCATTACCCTCTTCCTTTTTTTTTTTTTTTATATTTTCATTTTAATAAAAGGATGCGTATTTTGGTGTTTATTTTAATTCGTGTTAACACCACAGTGGAAATGGACGAGTGTAGTTAAATTAGAACTCTGATTATTAACGCTTCAAAGGCCACATTTTGCAAGTTTTATCTCGGCAGGAGATTATCATTAAAATGAACTTCGAGTATTTCATTTTAATTGACATCTGACAGAGTAGATAAAAAGAAGACTAATGATGCAAAAAATTCAAGATTCCATCAATTAATTTTCAGATTTAGCCTTTTTCTTTACTCCCATTAATAACAATTACCATTCAACAGTTTTTTTTAATCCCTCTTTCTGTACGTGCTACGAAATCGACATGTGTGAATTTATTACTAATACAGGAATGTGTCAGATGACCCAGAAGATCAAGAATACACGTTATTGCAACATCTTTGTTCTTATTTACGAGTGTGGGAAAATATTCAGTTTGATACACTTCGCGGTCTGACGCAACAATATACGTGCCTATTTATTTGTTTATTTGAAATTTAATACTAGCTGTGTCTTCAGTGATGATCTACACTTCCCTTCCTATGTTGGTACCCTACTTTTTTTTTTCTCTTTTCTTTTTTTCGAAAGTGTTATAAATTAAGTGTAATAGGTATTCGAGAACATTGCATTGGACTATGTCAACATGTACCGTTCTTTAAAATGAAGAACAGGCAGCACGACTTTCCTTGATTCGTCGGATAAACTGGTGCGTGCGGGCATTGCATTCGCATTAGAAACTTACTTTCTGGACAACTTGCTTCACTTTCGCGTGTCAGTTTATACAAATATACGGGGTGTCCCGCGTATAACTGTCGTCATGAAATTTCAATATTTTCTATAAACTTTGCGCCGGACAAAAATTTAATAATTAACGCTTCTCTCGTTTCACTTGTACGAATACAATTGATTCGTGTATTTTAATTTCCAACCTTGGCTTCGATTCCTTTTTATGCGAATACCTTAGATCATCTAAATCTGTATTATCGTAATAATACAATACTGATTATTGAACAATTGTATCACTTTCTCTGCTTATCGTAACGCAATAATCACACTTGACATTAGTGAAATCTGTTATGGGAATGATCTGAAAGAGAAGACGATATTGTTACGCGTGTGAACCTAATTAGTGAATAATGATCTTCAGCGTGTGTGAAAAATACTAGTCTCAAATCTTCTCAGGCGTGTAATGTAAATTCTATTAACATCATTTTTTTTTTTTTCTTATCTAATTTTGTTGGGATCTCTTCTGAGAAACAGTCTTATAACGAATGTGAATATTCTAGGATAACAAAGTTCCTGGATTGAAATGTATCAATTTATAAATTAGCATAATGAATTGAATTTAATTTAAATAAAATCGAACCTGCTACCATGTCTTATTTTCATTTTTTCATTTCATTTCTTCACTTGATCGTGAACAATTGTGAATAGAATAACGCTTAATGGTACATTGAATAAGAAGAAAAAGTAGACATTGACATTCCACTTTCTATTTTCTTTAGAATTCTGAACAAAAAGAATACCGGTATTTATGACTGATATAATTTTGAATTCTTCCAAAAAGATTTCTGGATCTCTGTCCATGCATTATTTTACAATTAAATTAATCACTACGATCGTATATAGAAATCGTTTCACTATAAAATTCGTGTAATAAAATGCACTTTCATTCCGAGAGAAATCACAACCTCGTCCTTGGCGATTTCTTATTAATTCCTATTTTGAAAGAGCCACGATATTTATGTTGATTGTAACTCGATTATGAGCTTCAATTATACATGATAATGAGAATCAAGGATGTGGAAGTCATTGTGGATCGACAGTTATCATCGATCTTACGAGTCATTGTCCGATTGCATCGGTTTCCGGTGAAAAGTTTTACCAGATTTTGCGTAAGATTTTTATTACCATCTCCTTTCGGTTATTAATTTCGAATCGTACATTTCCAATGATTGTAGAGAATAATTTTAATACAGGTAAAGTATCTGACAGGCAATCTCTCGTTCTCTAGAAATAACGATAATAATCGTAACGAGTAAGGAACTTATACAAGAAAAGTGGAAGTCCCTTTCATTTACCCAGAGAGTGGAAAAAACTTGGGAACAATTCTTTGTTCGAGCAAGGCCGCGTCCTAGAAATATTTCACAGAATAATACCTTTTAAAATTCACTCTTTGTAACGAGACACTGATTATTCATACCTTTGTTGTTTTATATAACAAAGTTATGAAAGATTCTTCGATCATTGTAACC